TTAGATAATTGATTAATTTCATTGGGTTTGATTGATAGATATAACTGCGTATCATCTGCATTACAGTGAAAGTTAATGGAGTGATTCCTAATAATGTTGCCTAAAGGGAGCATATATAAAGTAAATAGTATTGGTCCAAGTACAGAACCTTGTGGAACTCCATGACTAACTTTAGTATTTATGGAGGATTCATCGTTAACATGTACAAACTGAGAACGATCTGATAAGTATGACTTAAACCAGGTTAGGGCAGTTCCTTTAATGCCAATTTGATGCTCAAGTCTCTGTAAAGAATATCATGGTCAATGGTGTCAAATGCAGCACTAAGATCTAATAATACAAGTACAGAGACAAGTCCATTGTCAGAAGCAGTCAGAAGGTCATTATTAACTTTAACCAGAGCTGTCTCTGTGCTATGATGAGCTCTAAATCCTGACTGAAAATCCTCAAATAAACTATTGTTATGTAGAAAGTCACACAACTCTTTGGCGACTACTTTCTCCAGAATCTTAGAGAGGAACGGGAGGTTAGAAATCGGTCTATAGTTGGCTAAAACCCCTGGGTCAAGAGTGGACTTTTTAAGAAGGGGTTTAATTACAGCTACTTTAAAGGACTGTGGTACATATCCTGATAATAAAGAAAGATTAATCATATCCAGTAAAGAAGTGCCAATTAAGGGAACAACTTCTTTAAGCAGCCTAGTTGGGATCGGGTCTAACAGACAGGTTGATGGCTTCGATGAAGAAATGATTGAAGTTAACTGATGAAGATCGATAGCAGAAAAACAGTCTAAATATACATCTAAGTTTACATTGACAGAAGTCCCTGAACTTGGAGAGCCACTGATAACTGTTGATGGCAGTTGGTGATTAATTTTTTCTAATAGTAATAATTTTGTTATAGAAGAAGCTCATGAAGTCATTGCTACTTAAGTTTATGGGGATATGTGGCTCGATAGAGCTGTGACTCTCTGTCAGCCTGGCTACAGTGCTGAAGAGGAACCTAGGGTTGTTCTTATTTTCTTCTATTAGTGCTGAGTAATAGGCTCCTCTGGCATTACGGAGGGCCTTTCTATAAATCTTAAGATCATCTTGCCAATTTGAGAGATATTCTGATAATTTGGAAGAGCGCCATTTCCTTTCAGATTTCCTAGCTATTTGCTTTAACTGGCGGGTTTGGTGGTTATCCAAGGTGCTAGTCTCCTATGTTTTAATAATTTCCTTTTATAGGAGCGATAGAGTCTAATGTTGATCGTAGTGAGCCTGTAGCACTATCGACAAGATTATCAATTTCAGAGGGACTAAAGTTGTTATAGGACTCTGTTAAATTCAGACATGGCATTGAATTAAACACTGAAGGAATCTCCTCCTTAAATTTGCTACAGCACTGTCAGATAGACATCTGCTGTGGGAAGTTTTGCCTAATGGCTTATAATCTAATAGTATGAATTCAAAAGTTACTAAATAATGGTCAGATAGGAAGGATTATGTGGGAAGACTATTAAATGTTCAATATCAATGCCATAGGATAAAACAAGGTCAAGAGTGTGATTAAAACAATGAGTTGGTTTTTTACACTCTGACAGAAGCCAATTGAGTCTATTAATGATATAAATGCATTACTAAGGCTGTCATTGTCAACATCCACATGATTATTAAAATCACCTACAATAATTACTTTATCTGATTTAAGGACTAAGCTTGATAGAAACTCTGAAAATTCAGATATAAAATCAGAGTACGGTCCAGGAGCGCGGTACACTATAACAAATAGAACTGGCTGCAGTGTTTTCCAGTTTGGGTGAGAAAGACTAAGAACAAGGCTTTCAAATGAATTATAATTTAGTTTAGGTTTAGGGTCCATTAAAACGCTCGAATCATATATAGCTGCTACTCCACCTCCTCGGCCTGTGCCTCGAGGAATGTGAGTATTAATATGACTGGGGGGTGGATTCATTTAGGCTAACATACTCCTCGTGGGACAACCAGGTCTCAGTAAGACAAAGTAAATCAATATCATAATCTGATATTAATTCATTCACTAAAACAGCTTTAGAGGACAGAGACCTGATATTTAACAGCCCCATTTCTTCTCTTTTTTGTGCTACTGAGGAGTTGGTTTTAATTTTTATTAGATTTTTATGTTGAACTCCTCTTGTTTTTATTTCTTTAAATAGTTTAGGTGGTCGGGGGACAGACACAGTCTCTATGGGGTTTTGGGTGGGTGACTGTTCTAAAGAAAGCGCAGAGGAGTGTGTAAGACAGCAGCTCTGCTTCCTGGTCCTAACTCTGGACTGTCAGGTTTAGAGATAAACTTCGCCATATTCCTAGATAAGAGGCCGCTCCATCCAAAGTGGGATGGATGCCGTCTCTCCTAATCAGACCAGGTTTTCCCCAAAAGGCTTCCAGTTATCAATGAAGCCCACATCGTTTGCTGGACACCACCTCCTCACCCTCATATAAATATCTCATTCCTTCTGGTCTCCACACAAAAGGGGTGGTTTTCAGGTCCGCTGAGAAGGTTTTAGAGTTCAACGGAATTGCTTCGCTCTTACTCCAATTAATTTGGTATCCTGAAAACAAGCCAAACGATTTAATTAATTCCAACACTTTCGGTATTGAATGAATTGGGTTTGATAAGGTCAATAAAATGTCGTCTGCATACATATTTAACTTAAAATCGTGGCCACCTATCCTTATGCCAGTTATATTGGCATGCTCACCAATGGCGCATGCTAGTGGTTCCAGAGCTAAGACAAATATTAAAGGACTTAAGGGGCAGCCCTGTCTTGTGCCACGGTAGAGATGAAAGGGCTTAGAAATCAGACCATTAACCTTGACTGTGGCAACAGGGCTATTATACAGGGCCTTGAACCACTGCACAGCAGATTGTCCAAAATCATATCTTGACAGTATCTGGAACAAATAAGGCCATTCTAATCAATCAAAAGCTTTTTCCGCGTCCAGCGATATTGCTACCGCTGGACACTGGAGAGAGCTAGCTTTTAACATGACTTGAAGCAATCTTCTCATGTTGTTGGCTGGGAATCTGCCCGGTATAAATCCTACCTGGTCTATATGAACCAGGGAGGTAATGACTTTCTCTAGAAGGAGAGCCAGAACTTTCGCAAATACTTTATAGTCATTATTCAATAGACTTAAAGGGAGAAAATTTCCCATGTCTAAATGGTCTTTTCCTGATTTGGGAAGAAGTGCGCATTGTCGCTGGCATTGACTTATTTTCAATAATGTTATTACATAGTTGAGTCAGGACTGGAGACAGGCTGTTCTGGAACTGTTTATAAATTTCTATCTATCAATGACATTCATGGTATGATTTGAAAAATGAGGAGATAGTCGATTCTGGAGTAAGAGTTGTGTGCGTTTGAATAATATGTATACCTTGTAGGTATACATATTACATACATACCTTGTATGTATGTTCTTGTAGGTTTACCAAACGCCACACATCAGTCAGTGCCAGTGAGCTCCTCATCTCGCTAAAAGCTGCTGATGATGCTCTATCTGATGGTAGGGGGCTGCTCGAACGGTCCACACTGGCATCACTGACCAAGTTAAAGTCGCTACCTATCAATAAGGGAGTATCTGCAAACTGAGCTAACAGGATATTGAGGGAGGAGAGAAAGAGGTTCTGACCTGAGTTGGGTGCATAGATGTTAACCAAGGTGCATTTCTCATTCTGAAGTGTGCCTGACAGTACCAGATAGCGCCCATCATCATCCACTCTTATTGCAGACGGTGTGAAAGAAATTCTTTTAGCTATTAGTATACTATCACCTCTGGCAGCTCCTGAGCCTGGGGCCGAAAACACTTGGCCCACCCATCTTTGTTTCAGTTTCAGAGACTCCTGCTTTGTAAGGTGCGTTTCTTGAATCATGGCAGTATCAAAACTCAGAGATTGGAGATGAGATAGAATCTTGTATCTTTTTACTGGGTTCTGAATCCCATTTTACATTCCAAGAAATTAACTTTATGGTTCTAAACATCTTTTAATAAAATGACCCTCGGCGGCTGGTTGAGGTCTGGACGTGGACGAGGCGCCCTGTGTGCCCGGTCGACCTCCGGTGGTTTCTCGCCTTCCTTGAGATCCAGGATATAGCAGAGAATTTTGCCAAGGAGATCTTCCATGCCACCAGCTTCGGCTCCCTACTTGATGTTTACTAGACGTATGTTGTTTCTCTTACTCCTACTTATCAAATCATCCACCTGATTGTGGAGGATTTCAATTTGGTTTTGGAGCTTTTCCACTCTCGGACTAACTGTATTGTTTTCGTCCTCCAGCCCGCTGATGCGCTTTTCCGCGTTGGATACTCTGTTAACAGTTGCTTTATTTTATTTCGTCAGTGACTGGATGGACTTTTGCATGGTTTTAAACTTATTTTCAAGCTGCTCAAACCTTTGTGCTAGGTCCGACTTGATCACCAGTGTTTCGCAGAGTAGTGGTTTCGCCCAGGCAGGTGTGTCATCTTCAGCGTCCAACAGGTGCACCATCTCCTCAGCCATGGTGGCGAACGCCCTCTCTCGCTCTCTCTGTTGTTTTATCGTTTCTCTAGTAACTCTGTTAGACATTCGCCCACTATTATCTATATTGCTTAGTTGGTGCTGGACTTCCAATTGAATTATCAATTGTCTTTAAATACACATTGTTGGTCTGGTGTCTCTCAGATCACCTAAGCAGGCGCCATGTTTACCATTCCGATCACGTATTTTCTAGTACATGCTAGTTACTTAGTAAAAGTTACCTACTGCAGTTTTAATGTAATGATCTGTTATGGCCATATGTTAGACTCAGGCTTAAGTTCAGTGACAAAAGATTTGGTAAAATGTCAGAAGATGATTATTTTACTTGATGTATTATTTTCTCACTCAATCATCCATTCAGTTTTATGCATCACCCATGTATGCAGCCATTAAAGGATTTAATGCCTTATTAAAATGCTTATTTATTTTTTTCTCTCTCTCTTTCTTTTCTCTTCATAGGATGCGGTTACTAAGCGTCGGTATGAAGCACCCTCTCGAACCTGTAAACCCTTGTACAGACTGGTAACCCGAACACCGGAAGAGCCTTAACAAACATTCAGCATAAGCCAGGAATAGATCATTTCAGAGACAATCCGAACAGAGCCCTGACCACAGTGAATTCCTGTTGAGCCTCAGCCAATTCACATTTCCTTTTTCTACGTTGTGGTTGTACCCCTCAGAGGGGAGATGCCAGTCTTGCTTAATGCCGATGCTTCCTTCAGCTCCAAGCAGGAGCTCCTAGACCTGCAGGACTGCCCTCTCAGCGGGGGTCCCTCTCTGGACACCCCAAGCCCCCCAGAATCCCATATAGGTAGCCCGATAGGCTCAGGGCCCAGAAGTCCTGGAAGCCCTGGAACTGATGGCCCCATTCGGCCACATATTTTCACTGGAGCTTCCTCGCTCCCAGGGCAGCTATACGGGCTGGACACAAGACCCCATGCAGAGACTCCCATGGGGTTAAAGCTGATCTCCACTGATTCAGATCAGCTGTGCGGCTGGGGGGCTCTGACACCCAAAGCTATCCAAGTTTTCAACACCCCTCGTTGGGTGCTGTTCTTCCTTTGTGTTGCCTCTTTCCTCCAGGGGATGATAATCAACGGCTTCATTAACACAGTGGTCACCTCCATCGAGAGGCGGTTTGACCTGCGCAGCTACCAGGCCGGACTCATCGCCAGCTCTTACGACATCGCTGCCTGTGTCTGCCTGGCCTTCGTCAGCTACTTCGGTGGGACTGGACACAAGCCTCGCTGGCTGGGATGGGGGGTGCTGATCATGGCACTCGGCTCTCTTGTGTTTGCCTTGCCTCACTTCACCACACCCAGTTACCAGGTCACCATGCCCGAGCAAACAGGAATGTGCTCTGCCAACCGTACCAGTCCGTGCCAGGACAAGGAGGGCGGAGGATTATCCAGCTATCGTTTTGTGTTCATGCTGGGTCAGTTTCTGCATGGTGTGGGTGCTACACCTCTTTACACATTAGGGGTCACGTACCTGGATGAGAACGTCAAGTCCAACTATGCGCCTGTTTATATTGGTGAGTGATATCAGTCAAGTCATTTTTTAGCAAAGGGTTTTATATTCGTATTAAAGTAGCAATCAATTAGCAGCAGTAATGACTGTTATTTAATGTTATTATGCTACTTAAATAATTATCGTCTCTTCCTAGTTGGCCACTCATATTTGCAGTTGTCTATAAATACGAGGCAGACAACCACCCACCTAGAGCCAAAGTTTCAATGAAATGAGTCTTTTTTGGCTCTGTTTGGTTCCTTCTGTTCAGGAGCTCTAGGAAAAGCTAGAGGAAACAGATTTTTTCACAGCTGAGGGAAGCGGCTGTGAGCTGCACTTTATCGGAGGTGATGAAATTAAAATTTGTGTAGACAATAAGCCACACAGTAGGGAGATTTATGCATGATCAGAAGTGTTCTCACAGTTTCTGTACTTTATCTCAGATGAAGAGCAGCACACATCCACCTCCCTAAACTTTGTCTCATCCAAACAAGGTTATGTGTCCGTCAAATGGTTGTGCTGTGTCAGTCTGAATGGGATGATGCTACTATAATAGCAGAGCAGATTATTGCCTTTCATATTATTTGCATTAGCTAACAATCCATGACTAGCACAGAAGTCCAGTAACAAAACACCGCTCGGGTTCAAATCGGGGAGGCCGTTCCTCCCAATCACGCCCCTCCAAGTGTCTCCATCATTGCACACATGTGCGTTGAAGTCTCCCAGGAGAACGATGGAGTCCCCTACTGGAGCCCTATACAGGACTTCACTACAGAGACCCAACAGTACCACCATGAGCAAGCACTTGGCGATGGGGACAAGGAAGAGGCAGAAACCTAGGACAGACCCTTTGGCTCTAGATGGGTGGTCGTCTGCCTCGACCAGTTGGGGTGTGAGAGAGAGAGAGAGAGAGATCACGAAATGGAAAACTCTGGAGGCGGTGATAAAAAACAACCAAAACCCTCTAGATTACCCAGTAACAGAACAAGAATTAACAGAAGTCACCCAGTCCCTGAAAGGAAAAAAGGCTTATGGTAATCCAGGATGGAATCCTCAACGAAATGATCAAATACTCAGACCATAAAATCAGATTGGCTATACTAAAACTATTCAATACTATTCTGTCAACTGGAACAAAGGTTTAATAACCCTAATTCATAAATCCGGAAATAAATACGATCCAAATAACTACAGAGGAATATGTGTCTCCAGTAACCTGGGAAAAATATTCTGCAACATCATTAATAAACGATATGTCAACTTTCTTGACGACCACAATATTCTGCATAAATGCCAAATTAGTTTCTTGCCAAATTCCCGCACAACGGACCATATATTTACCCTCCACACTTTAATTGATCAAGAATCAAAAATGAAGAAAAGAAAGGTATATGCCTGTTTCGTTGACTTCAAAAAAACCTTTGATTCCATCTGGCACAAGGGCCTTTTCTATAGGCTACTTGAAAGTTGCATTGGAGGAAAAACATATGATCTGATTAAGAACATGTATACAAAAAGTGAATGTGCCGTAAAGATTGGAAACAAACAAACAGCGTTATTCTCCCAGGGCCGGGGAGTGAGGCAGGGATGCAATCTCAGTCCAATTCTCTTCAAACTATATCAATGAATTAGCGAACCAACTAGAGCATTCCACGGTACCTGGCCTCACCCTGAACGACACAGAGATCAGAGGTCTGCTATATGCAGATGACTTAGTGTTGCTTTCACCTACTAAAGAAGGTTTGCAGCAGCACCTTAATCTGCTGCAGAGATTTTGTCAAACCTGGGCCCTGACAGTAAACAAGGCAAAGACTAAGATAATGATCTTTCAGAAACAATACAGAAATCAGGTTACACACAATTTCTATTTAGACACCACTAAATTACAACATACAAAAAACTACATTTACCTTGGTCTCAACATTACATACACAGGAAACCTCAACATGGCTGTGAAAGATCTGAGGGACAAAGCAAGGAGAGCTTTCTATGCAATAAAGAGAAACATTAAAATTTATTTTCCAATCTAAATCTGTCTTAAAATTTTCCAATTTGTAGTAGAACCAATAATTCTATATGGCAGCGAAATTTGGGGACCAAAACTAAATAAGGAATTTGACAAATGGGACAAAACAATCATAGAATCTTTCCACACCGAGTTCTGTAAGAGCATCCTGCAGGTGCAGAGAAAAACACCAAATAATCTGTGCAGAGCTGTACTAAAAATACAGAAAAGATCAATTCAATTTTTAACCCCCAGACATACCATCACAAAGCCCTAACATACCAGATGCTGAAACCAGAGAAGAGTCCCCTCAGCCAGCTGGTCCTGAGGCTCTCTGCAGTAACATGTCCCCAACAGCCTCAGGACAGCAACACCAACTCAAGCAGACCAAACCAAATTATCAACAAGCAAAAAGAAAAATATATTGAATACTGGAAAGAAACGACCAAAATACAAAGTAAATTACAATGTTATCTGACCCTAAAAAGAGAATTCACACTGGCAAATTACCTGAGCACAATAAAATGTCCTAAACTAAGAAAAATGGTGACAATGTACAGACTGAGTGAACACAGCCTGGCCATAGAAAAGGGTCGCCACAGACAGAACTGGCTACCAGAAGAGGAGAGAGACTCTGCTCCCAGTGTGACAGAGGACAGGTAGAGACAGAGCTGCACTTTCTAACCTCATGCCATAAATATAAAACCTTAGGAGAAAAACACTTCGCAAACATTTCCCAAATATACCCCGAATTCGAATTCATATCAGACACACAGAAACTCCCCTATTTACTGGGAGAAATGCCCAAATGTCAAATAATTGCAGCAAAATATGTCTCCTCATGCGATGAACTGAGGATAACCAGTGGAAACTCAATAAAATATATAAAATATATATATATATTTTTTATATATATTTTTTTTATATATTCACTTTCTAAAACACACGCTTACTATTTTATTTATTTATTTTAATTTTTAATATATTATTTTCATTTTCTAACTTTCTTTCATTTTTTTTCCCTCTTCTTTGTTATTACTGTTATATTGACAACAGACTACTTGTTTGAACTGTAGCCTGTTACGTTACTACTGTTTTAATGACATTTTTAGTTGACACAAACTGATTGATTGATTGATTCATTGTAATTAATTACTTATTGATTGAGATTGATTGATTGTGACTGTGATTGTGATTGAGTCAATCATAGTTACAGTACTACCAACAGTATAGATTATTGATTATTATTAATTTATTGTAAATTTTGTTTTCCTTTATTGTTATTATTATTATTTTTAATTCCAAACGCTTGCTTTTCTAAAACCTGACAGTCCAGAGTTAGGACCAGGAAGCAGAGCTGCTGTCTTTCACACTTCTCTGCGCTTTCTTTAGAACAGTCACCCACCCAAAACCCCATAGAGACTGTGTCTGTCCCCCGACCACCTAAATTATTTAAAGAAACAAAAAACATTCGAATAAAAATTAAAACCAACTCGTCAGTAGCACAAAATAAGGGAATGAAATGTGGACTGTTAAATATCAGGTCTCTGTCCTCTAAAGCTGTTTTAGTGAATGAATTAATATGAGATTATGATATTGATTTACTTTGTCTTACTGAGACCTGGTTGTCCCACGAGGAGTATGTTAGCCTAAATGAATCCCCCCCCGTCATATTAATACTCACATTCCTCGAGGCACTGGCCGGGGAGGTGGAGTAGCAGCCATATATGATTCGAGCGTTTTAATGGACCCTAAACCAAAACTAAATTATAATTCATTTGAAAGTCTTGTTCTTAGTCTTTCTCGCCCAAACTGGAAAACACTGCAGCCAGTTCTATTTGTTATAGTGTACCGCGCTCCTGGACCGTACTCTGATTTTATATCTGAATTCTCAGAGTTTTTATTAAGTTTAGTCCTTAAAACAGACAAAGTGATTATTGTAGGTGATTTTAATATTCATGTGGATGTTGACAATGACAGCCTTAGTAATGCATTTATCTCATTAATAGACTCAATTGGCTTCTGTCAGAGTGTAAATAAACCAACTCATTGTTTTAATCACACCCTTGACCTTGTTCTATCATATAGCATTGATATTGAACATTTAATAGTCTTCCCACATAATCCTTTCCTATCTGACCATTATTTAGTAACTTTTGAATTCATACTATTAGCTTATAAGCCATTAGGCAAAACTTCCTACAGCAGATGTCTATCTAACAGTGCTGTAGCTAAATTTAAGGAGGAGATTCCTTCAGTGTTTAATTCAATGCCATGTCTGAATTTAACAGAGTCCTATAACAACTTTAATCCCTCCGAAATTGATAATCTTGTTGATAGTGCTGCAGGCACACTACGATCAACATTAGACTCTATCGCTCCAATAAAAAGGAAAATATTAAAACATAGGAAACTAGCACCGTGGTACAACCACCAAACCCGCCAATTAAAGCAAAAAACAAGGAAGTCGGAAACGAAATGCCGCTCTTCTAAATTATTAGAATATCGCTCAATTTGGCATGATAATCTTAAAACTTATAGAAAGGCCCTCAGTAATGCCAGAGGAGCCTATTATTCAGCACTAATAGAAGAAAATAAGAATAACCCTAGGTTCCTCTTCAGCACTGTAGCCAGGCTGACAGAGAGTCACAGCTCTATTGAGCCACATATCCCCATAACCCTAAGTAACAATGATTTCATGAGCTTCTTTTATGATAAAATTATTACTATTAGAGAGAAAATTAATCACCAAATGCCCTCAACAGTTATCAGTGGCTCTCCAAGTTCAGGGACTTTAACTAATATAAACTCAGATATATATTTAGACTGTTTTTCTGCTATCGATCTTCATCAGTTAACTTCAATCATTTCTACATCGAAGCCATCAACCTGTCTGTTAGACCCCATCCCAACTAGGCTGCTTAAAGAAGTCGTACCCTTAATTGGCACTTCTTTACTAGATATGATTAATCTTTCTTTATTATCAGGATATGTACCACAGTCCTTTAAAGTAGCTGTAATTAAAACCCTTCTTAAAAAGCTCACTCTTGACCCAGGGGTTCTAGCCAACTATAGACCGATTTCTAACCTCCCCTTCCTCTCTAAGATTCTGGAGAAAGTAGTCGCCAAAGAGTTGTGTGACTTTTTACATAACAATAGTTTATTTGAGGATTTTCAGTCAGGATTTAGAGTTCATCATAGCACAGAGACAGCTCTGGTTAAAGTTAATAATGACCTTTTGATTGCTTCTGATAATGGACTTGTCTCTGTACTTGTATTATTAGATCTTAGTGCTACATTTGACACCATTGACCATAATATTCTTTACAGAGACTTGAGCATCAAATTGGCATTAAAGGAACTGCACTAAGCTGGTTCAAGTCATACTTATCAGATCGCTCGCAGTTTGTATATGTTAACGATGAATCTTCCATAAATACCACAGTTAGTCATGGAGTTCCACAAGGTTCTGTACTTGGACCAATACTATTTACTTTATATATGCTCCCTTTAGGCAACATTATTAGGAATCACTCCATTAACTTTCATTGCAATGCAGATGATACGCAGTTATATCTATCGATCAAGCCCGATGAAATAATCAATTATCTAAATAAGGACTTAAAAATCCTGGATGACCTGCAATTTTCTGATGTTGAACTCAGAAAAAAACTAAATTCTTGTACTAAGAAGTGTGGATCAGGATTAAACTACGCCTTTTACACAAAAATTGCTGTTCAAGATTTAACAACAAATGCAAATAGCATATTTGCATAATGGCTGTGGAAAAAATCCCACCTGCCTCCTGTTGCTCATTCAGACTCAAATGTGTTTGTTGTTTGCATCAATGTGAATTTAGGTTTTTGTATGAGTATCACTATACAGATGCCAGAGTTGATTACAATACTGGTTGTCACAGCAGCTGTCTGCCATGGTAAATGGTAAATGGACCTGTACTTTTATAGTGCCTTTCATTCATGGAAATTCATCCAAATCGCTCATTTTACACAAACATCCTGCAGTTATTGTGTTCATTGTTTGGGTTAATTGTATAGTTTATCATTTATTAACTTATTATTGTATAGTTGTTCTCTACTGTAATTGTTATACACTAAATATATTATATGAAATATCCATAAAATATGTCACTTAGTCACTTTAGTCAATGATAGAAAAGGGGTCCCTTAAGGAAAACATTTGGGAACCAGTGCTCTGTGATACACAAGTAAGTTCAAGTTCCAGCCCTGTAATTTTGGTTCCTATCGACCCCATTTACAGCATTCGCTGTGTACATCAGTAGGACAAAATGTCCCTAAATTGGGCCTTGTCCCTAAAGCTTTGCCCATTTCAAATAGCAGCAGAGCACAGTGTAACCTACTCAAGGAAGTGCTCACACCAAAACACACAAACACACACGCACAGTCGCTCACTTCAATCTCCTTTTTAATCATGAAACATTCACTTTGTGGTCACAGAGCCCTGTAACAATGGGGCAGTTTTAACCTGAAGGACAGGAAGAGGTAAGTAGGAAACAGGAAGTAGACAGTCACTGTGCTGACACACCCGTGGCCTGGCTCTGTGGCTGTGATCTCTCTCTCTCTCTCTCTCTCTCTCTCTCTCTCTCTCTCTCTCTCTCTCTCTCACAGGGATATTCTATACAGCAGCCATTGTGGGTCCAGCAGCAGGCTACCTGCTGGGCGGATACTTCCTCAACATCTACACTGAGATCCACCTGACGTGAGTCTTCTTTTAGTGGCAGAATGGACTAGAACAATAATAAACTAGAATTACTTTTAATAATTATTATAATAAAACACCTGGTGACGTTTATTACACGCCTGGTGGCATTTGACAATGATCTCCACCGACAATGATCTCCACCTTATTTCAGTTTACAAGAATTTTGCCAGATTTGAAGATTGGTGGCAAGCTAAGATAAACAGTTGGACTACAATACAGACAGCTTGTTTATAAGAGTTTGCTGTTAGCTTAACCATCTCAGTGCAGACAAAGCAGACAGAAATATTGCTTGCTTACCTTTTACTGGAGTTGTTGTTGTTATTTTATACTTATGTGCTGTGTGTGTGTATGTATATGAGTTGTTGTGTTTTGTTGTATGTATAGTCGTTGGCACAGCATTTGCTTCAAGTATAACGTGTCAATGCATGTGCTTTCAGTTCCCTTTTATCATAGGAAAGTGAAAAATAATTTGTGTACCCCCCATGATTTGGATCCACTCCAAAATTGTATGGTTTCAAACTTGGCCTGTGCTAGACCCTTCCATCAAGTGTCAAACAAAGAAACCCACAAACGGCACCAAAAACATAACCTTCTTGGCCTGAAGCAATAAGGCAGACTTACAATAGAATACAACAGACTAGCATTACAGACTTTGTAAGACTAATGTAGTAGAATATACATTTCACACTATGGAGTAGTGGACTAGCATGTAGAGGTTAATATCAGTAAATGTCAAGTGATTCATACAATGTGTGTGTGTGTGTGTTGTCACAGGACAGAGATGACACCAGAGAACCCTCTGTGGGTCGGGGCTTGGTGGATCGGCTTCCTAGCAGGAGGAGCAGCAGCTCTACTGATAGCATTCCCCATCCTAGGCTACCCACGGCAGCTACCAGGTACCACTTCTGTCCACTGTGCATGTACACACATACTCTTTCTCACACCAGGACGGAAGAAAAGAAATTAAAAAAACATTCTCATATAAATTTTTTGATTTTTGGAAATTGGTATAGGAATGGCAAAAGTATCTCCCTTACTATTCTTCTTCCTCTTCCTGCAGGCTCTCAGGAGTATGTGGCTATGCGGGTCTCTGAGGCCCACCAGCTTAAGGACGGAAGCCACACAACAGCCTCAGACCCTCAGTTTGGCAAATCGGTCAAAGACATGCCAAGGTAGTGCACTTACTTCCATAATCGCATTATTATAGACTAGCATCTAGTGATCTGATCAGAGCCCTCGATTTTAATAAGGTGATTTAACTGGTTCCCAATCTCCCCCTACTAGGGGTTGCAATTCATTTCTTTGAAGAAAACTGAATGAAATTTTCACTGACACTAACTGGATTTCCATGTGATATCTTAGCTAACCAGAGCTGATCTCTTATCAGCTTGAGATGTGCGCTAAAAAAATTCCCTTCTAAACATTAATGACTATTTAGTAGTCCCTTTAGTAGTAATGGCTCCATTTCTAAACACTGACAAAGGCATATAGCATATAAGCTATCATGACTTTGTGGAGATGTGTTTTCTATCATAGATATAGAAACATAGATACCCTACTAGTCGCCATATTGCGGAAGTCAGATCATCTAGTGTTCAACACAAATTACTACAAAATCTAATGTTACTCACTTAATTCTGACCTGACCTGATGAAATTTGGTCTGTGAGAAAATGAACGTGATACTGGTTACTTGAAGAAATTAATTCAGTTACCAGGGGTGGATCTAATGAGCTCTATATTAACCATCTAAATAGCCAAAACTTCCACAAGCAACATCAATGTAAATGATTTTCAATTTTAGCTTGTTTCTATAAAAATGTAGATTTCTATATTGATTATATTGTCATAAAGCCAGTATGACAGTATTGTTACAGTGGCCACTCAGACACAGGGTTGGGTTAAAAGATGTAGTTAGCAACCTAATCCAAGTATCACAATATTAAAGTAACGTAACTTAATTACTTTGTGTTACTTTTGGATTACCAAATATGCAAAAGACAAATAAAAATTGATCCCAAGAAGTATTGATGTTAGTGTATTCTTTGTTGTGAGTTGAGGTTATGTTTAAGCACAATACTACAGACAAATAGAGAAGTTTTTTATTATTTTGATTAAGCATAGCAATAAATAGATATACTGTAAAAAAAATCTATCAAGGTAATAGGTAAATAAAACAATTAAAGAGTGAGACAACCACTCTTTAACTGTTTAAAAGCAATGTTTCCTTTGTTTTCTTTAAAGTGGACTAAACTATGCGAAGTATATTAGGACCAAAATAGAAACTTTTTTGTAATAAATGTCACATTACCAGACAAGTCAAGACAGACATGTTATGAGTTTTACCACTGACAGTATATATAATGCACAGAGCTTCCAGGTCTGTGAAGTGAAGCCAATGCAGAAGTGTCTTAAACCTGCATTCTATGTAATGGCCAGCAGGGGGCAGCTCCACTGGCTGCAATAAAAAACAATACTATGCACTCTTATGGAGAAATTATTATTAGGTCAGTAAACTGTTTCCTAATAATGTATGGTCCCATTTAGACTAAAATAGATGATAAAACAGTGTATGCTCATTCTCAGTGAGTCCGTCCAGCTCAATGCACCAACACAATGATATAACTTTGGATCTGGGGTGGTGTTTATTTGTATTCGGAACGACTCCAGGCTTTTGAGATTACAGCGGCCTGCTTTAATTAAAAAGGAAGTTCTCTCTTTCTCCAGATCCGTGCTGCTCCTCTTAAAGAATCCCACCTTCCTGTTCCTGTGCCTGGCTGGGGCTACCGAGGCCACCCTCATCGCTGGCATGTCCACCTTTGGTCCAAAGTTCTTGGAGTCACAGTTCAGTCTCAGTGCATCGGAGGCTGCCACGTGGTTCGGTGAGTGACTAATAAAGAGGTACAATCATACAGTGTAAAAAAAAAAATAACAGTAATCTGGTAGCTGGGACCCAAAACAAATACTGTAAAATACAGCTTTTAGTCTTAATATTTTACATGAAATCTTGTGTCATTTTTGGCTTTTTAATGTTTAATTAGATATTTACACATGTAGAAACAATTAAATTACCTATAAATACAGGCGAATGCTATAATACAAATAATCAGGATACATTTGAATTTAATCAGAAAAGAAAGTTATAGAACTATAATAAAAGTCACCATCTGTGAAATTACAGTGATTATTGCTGTTTTCAGTGATAAAATCTGTATTTTTGACAGTTTACCATTGTTAATACACTTATAAAAAACATTTATTTAACATGTTTGTTGTTATAATGTAAGATATCGGTCAATTAACAAACAAATCCAAAGTACTATTATTTACTGATTATTTTACATAATTTTAGAAATGTATTAACAGTATCAAATTTGAATTTAACAGTTAAATTTGCTAGATAAACAGTAAATATCTGTGAAAAAATTATAAATTTAAAAATTTATTTTAACTTTTCTTTTTATGTGAAAAAAAGAAAATTCAAATAAACATAAAAGTTAGAGATCATTCATATTTTTTTACATTAGACATGTAAAATCCCAGGCTATTTATATATATTATAATTGTATTAATATATCCATGTTTTAAAAAAATACAGAAAAAATCTGTAAAATAAATGGGGAAATCCCACGTAAAGGGGGGAGTGATTGAAAATATGACCTCTTCAAGACTTCTGATCGTTATTTTTTCCTTTAAACTCAGTTACAGTTACAGTTTGTACAGTCTGACTGCATATCGGACGGTTGTGGGTTCGATCCCCGGCTCCTGGTGCCACATGTCGAAGTATCCTTGAGCAAGATACTGAACCCCGAATTGCTCCCGATGCCGTACATCGGTGTGTGAGTGTGTATGAATGTTAGTTTCTGTTCGATGGACTTTGCCATCACTGAGTGAATGTGTGTGAAAGGGTGAATGTGGCATGTAATGTAAAAGCGCTTTGAGTGGTCAGAAGACTAGAAAGGCGCTATACAAGTACAGGTCCATTTACCATGTGTATTTATGTTATTTTTCTCCCCCTCCCAGGATATATGGTGGTACCAGCAGGTGGTGGCGGCACCTTCCTGGGTGGCTACATCGTGAAGAGGTTGAACCTGCGCTGTCGAGGCATCATCCGTTTCTGCATGATGTGTGCTATGGTCAGTCTGCTCGCCATCTTCATCTTCCTCATCGACTGCCCCAACATGCCTATGGCTGGTGTCACAGCACCGTACCAGTCCGGTCTGATGGACAAACACCAGCTGGACCAGTACAAACACCTGTATGACTTGCCCAGCAAGCTGCGCCATAGAAACGGGTAGGCAGTGTTTGTGTTAGTGTTGATTATTAGCTTTATTCACATATTATTAGCTTAAAAGTTGTATTTCACTGAAATTCAACTTGGATTATTTTTTATTGATTGATAAAATTTGTGGAAAAGTGGGCGTGAAGTTTTCTTGGCTTCTGAAAGGGGGCATGCCAGAAAAAGTTGAACCACTGGCTAATCCTGCACTCATTCTAATTGAAAGGAATTAGATAATTTGTTCATTTGTGCATCTTTATGAATGTCATTTAGATTTCATGATTTTATTGGACAATAACGAATACATTAAAGCTGCAGTAGGTAATTTTTATGAAAATATTTTTTCGCAACTTAGTAACATGCTAAAGCAGAGTTCGGCAGACTAAACAACAAAATTAAGATTAAAACAACATAAAACATGGGATAGCTTACAGCAAGTTTGAAGTCACGTCATGGACAGCCGGTAATGTTACCGATTCATCATTGATCTTGAACGTAACTATTACATATTAGCCCTCCTTACTCCAAAGCAGTCTGTAGTAAAATGCACACACAGACGTTGCCATAAAAAAAAGGGCAGCGTGTGGTAACACGGTAAGATTGTCCAAACACTAAGAATTTAGTTGGATGAGAGCGTATCAACCAACAATCAATCAACTGACCAGAAGGTGTCAGCCGTAGTTTGCACCTGTACCCATGCGGTTAATATGGAACCGCCAAACATTTGCATTTAGTTTATTGCTTTTTGACACAGTTAGGACATTGATATAGAGAATAATCAGGGGAATTTAATTTGATTCGCTAAGATTGACACTGATCAGCCATAATATTCTGACCACCTTGGCAACCTGGTGGTCAGAATGTTCTGCAGCCCCACACCAACAGACTGCTCTGCACTGTGTGTTCTGACACCTTTCTAACAGAACCAGCATTACCTGTTTCAGCAGTTTGAGCTACAGTAGCTTACCTGTCGGATCATCAATGAGCCTTGGATGCTTTTCCTTCCTTGGATCACTTTTGATAGGTACTGATCACTGCAGACCAGGAACACCCCACAAGAGCTGCAGTTTTGGAGATGCTCTGACCCATCACCTAGCCATCACAATTTGGGCTTTACCAAAGTTGCTCAAATCCTCACGCTGCCCATTATTCCTGCTTCTAACACATCAACTTTGAGGACAAAATGTTCACTTGCTGCCTGATATATCCCACCCACTGACAGGAGCCATGATAACCAGATAATGAGTGTTATTCACTTCACCTGTCAGTGTATTGAGATATGTGAAGCTTATTTATGTGCTTCTTCAGAAATGTTTTTATACTTATTATATATATACTTTATACTTATAATATATAAATAATATAACCATTTTGATTACATGGAAATATCACAGAGTATTAGAAATCACAACTAAGCTACTTAATGCTGACAAATAATTCCTAATAAGTAATAATAAGTCCTAATAAAATAATAAGTCCTTCTTCACTGTAAAAAAAGATTCTAAAAATAATGTAATATTCTGGCAGCTGGGGCACCAAAAAATACTGTAAAATAACAGAACAAATACTTATTTTTCTGTCAATTATCATTATTGTTGTGTATTTTTAGAAATGAATTACAGTATTAAACAGTTTAATCTATTAAATAAACAATTTTAAAAAAAAATGTCTTTTTATGTGAAAAATTAAGATTTTCTTTTAATATATAGTTATTTTATGATAATTTATATATATTTTTTTCATGCTATTTTACATCAGACATGTAAATGTATAGGCTATTTTTGTAATTGTATTAATATTTTCATGCATTTAAAAAATACAGAAAATATCTGTTAATTAACATGACAAAAACCCTGTAAAAACCCTTCTTCCTCTCCTGGCTGCAGCTCCTTTTTGGAGGAGAACCTGACAGTGGACTGTAATGTGGGCTGCAGTTGTGTCAGAGAATTGTACAACCCTGTGTGTGGGGCGGACAGTGTGATGTACTATTCTCCCTGCCACGCTGGCTGCAGCTCCATCAACCACACCGAACACTCCACAGGCAAACAGGTACAGTGCACACACCAAACGTCATTTTACTAGAGGGGTATTAGACTTGATTAACAGTGATCTGAGGTGCTTACACACACAGCAAAAGTCCCAAACACTAAGAAACACTGGGGATAAGGCTGGAAGAAGAAAATGTTTTTGTCGGTGAAAACTAGACTCGACCACTCGTAGAATGTTCCTTGAAGTCTCTGAATCCACATTGGTGGATCCCAGAAATCAGTGGGTACAAATATATCAAAATAACAGGAACAAAATAAGAACAAATCCTAGATATGAACAAAAATAAGATACATTTTCATATATCGCTTCTTGCATGAGGCCCAATATTTGTCTATAAATGTGGCAATATGTGTTTGTGTTTAGGTGTACTCTGGATGTAGCTGTGTAGTGGGGAACTTGTCCTGGGGCGAGGAGGGCTTCGCTCTGGCAGGAAAGTGTGGCAGCTCCTGCCATCACATGCCAGCGTTCCTCTCCTTCCTCTTCATCATCATCTCCTTCACCTTCCTCTGTAGCATCCCAGCACTCACCGCCACGCTCAGGTCAGTGGCCACACACACACACACACACACACACACACAAAGTTTCACTGTAGATTCTGGTTGTAACCAGCACTGATGAGTTTGTTAAATTAAGGGGAGACACAAATAACAAATAACAAATAACAAAAGGAAACCTAGTTGATTGCTTACATTTTTGTATTACATATTTAGGGAAATTGTAAACCAGGTTCAAATTTCATTTCGCAGACATATTAGAAAATACGGTCAACAGCCATAAAAATAAAATTTATGAATAAAATATTATATTAATCAGGAAGTGAATGATATATGAACAAACCCCTCTTTAAAATCATCCAGAATATAGATATATAGGAATAAGACTGAAAGCTTTGGTGCAAGTGCTACTCAATTTTATTTAAAAGTTATCTCAGGACACTTTTCAAATAAAGCAGGTCCAGACCGTACTGCTTATAAAATTATTTACAGACCCAGCAGTTCCCACCATGAGCAAGCACTTGGCGATTGTCAGTAAAAATATTTCTTAGTCCCAGCCCCTGCTTTTTGTCAGCCAAATATATTTATATCATTCTAAACCAGTTGCGCAAAAATAATCCAAGTGTTTGTATTACTAAACTAAAGACACTATTTGTCAAATAGCAAAGCATTTACCTCATTATTTCCTACATGTCCCCATCTCACAAAGATCAGGTTTAGCTGTGTGTTTGCAGTTTTGCTGTATTAATTAGTGTGCGACGTGATTCAGGGGCAAAGTCCCAGGGTAGACTCTTCAGAGTTTTGTTGTCTAGTTAGGGGGGCACTTTATTATTTATATTTAGTAGCTAAAGATTGCTGCTTAAGAGAGACCTCTTTCTAAAGATAGCATTCTCATCATCTTGTGTTTTTATAAATAAATCAAGTAAATAAATACATTGTAACGATTGACTTTTTCTTTTTGCAATAACTTAAACTTAAAAGGTGGGTTGAGTTAAGAAATTTTGCTTTGTGCATATGAAATATTACTTGTAAAATAAAAAGTAACAGTAGGTAACTTTCAGAAAAATCAGTTTTCGTCACATTTGCAGAAACATTAAATAAAGAGTGCATGTCATGACATTTTATGACTATTTATGTTTTGCCATTTAACCCACTATAATGACTAGCTTCTATATTTTAAACTCTAGTTCTCACTGAAATTTAGATTAAAGCAGCAATAATCAATATTTTACATTAAAGAAATTAAGAACAATCACATCACTAACTATGTTTGAAAGGGGTCGCTCATAGAATTCACAGAGAATTTCCCCCCAACTCTGCAGTTCCCATCAACTCTGTAGAGCTTTTTAGTAGGAGTGGAGGGAAACAATCTATTCATGTAAGAATCGTGATTATTATCTTTTACCATCTGAATCCATCTACAACTTCCAAAAATGTAACTTAGCTATACTTAACGCTGATAAAGCATCTAAAGAGCCAAATATTTCTCTCAGGAGCTGGTGGAGACCAAACCAGAGCATAATTGCAAGTTTAGTAGGAGTGAAGAGTTGCATAGTAATTGTATCTACTATGCTGCTGCTTATAATTTTTTGAGTTTTTTTCTTGCAGAAAATTATGAAAATGGCATCTCATTGCATGCTCTAAAAAGGGTACACATCAGTCACCTTCTTTACAAGAACACTGTGCTGTGAGACACTGTTGATCTCTTGTAACAACAGTAATAATCCCAATAGTGGCACAGAGCCAGCAAGCAAGTGCCAGGGAGTCTTTTCATAGCATTGTCAGTACAAACATATGAATTATAAAATTGAGGTCCAGTATGGCTGCATGTCTGACCAACTCTTTGCTGTGTAGGTGTGTGCCAGACAGCCAGAGATCCTTTGGACTTGGCATCCAGTGGATTGTGGTGCGCACATTTGGTAAGTTTACTTTTAACCTCTAAATCACTACCAAAGGGCTTCAGTCTCTCTACGCAGATGCCATGAACTTGTCCAATCGGTGTTACTGTTTCCTTACAGGTGGTATCCCAGGACCCATAGCATTTGGCTCTGTGATTGACATATCTTGCTTACTGTGGCAGGATCAGTGTGGTGAGCAGGGCTCCTGCTACCTCTATCAGAACTCAGCCATGAGCCGGTACACATTAGTGGCTGGCATCATCTATAAGGTAATGCTACACATAATAACAGGTAATTTACTGTAGTCTTACATTCAGTCTTAAAGCTGCAGTACGTAACTTATAAACATAAGTTTTTGTCATATTCACTGAAACTTTCACTATATCCTGACAGTAGTACATGAGACAGATAATCTGTGAAAAGATCTGGTTGCTCTGGTTCCTCCTAGTGCTCCTAATGGCATTTACAAGAGAAAGATAGTTGATTGTTGAGTCTCATTCCACAGGTCGTGAAATATTGACGTTGGGAAGGAGACTTAACAATCCACTATCCTCAAGCCTCCTTCCCAAAGCGTCTATCTTTCTTGGCTCTCATTGGTTGTTTTCGTCCAGGCCCGGCAGATTCTTGTAAATGCACTAGGAGGAGCCGAAGGAAGTAGAAAAGAATAAAAATTTTTTGGTATTTGAAAAAACCTTTACTCTACTTTGACTTGAAATTTAATTACCGATATGGAGGTTGAATCTAGGAAAAAGGTTGGGAACCACTGCTTTAAAGATCAAGTGTGTAGGATTTAGTGGGTACTAGTGTGAAGTTGAAGACTGCAACCAACTGAATACTGCTTGCCATGAAAAACTATGGTGATTATGAAACTCGCATGAAAGCCAGTGTTTGGTTTGTCTGTTCTGGGCTACTGTAGAAACATCGTGGTTCAACATGGAAGACTAGCTCCCTCTGTAGTTAATTCTAAGGTAACAAATACACAAAGATGCCTATGAATGAATATAAATATTATATTCCATTTCTGACAATAGATCCTCCTAAATGTTACACACTAGATGAAAAATTGCAATACAACTTTTGATGCTTATATGCCGGCTGTAGTAGGTCCGTTTGTGAGTTTTTTTCTGTGCGTCATTTATCTGAATTTTCAACTGCCTCTCCTCACCACTGTCCTCCTCTTTTTTCAGCTTTTGGGGACAATCTTTTTCCTGTTAGCAAGCGTCCTGTACCAGCCTCCTCCTGAGTCGCCTCAGAGCAGCTGCGAAAGCACCGACCACGGGGCAGGAGACACGAGCGACCTGCCTGTCAAAGACCTGCCCGAAGACGGCGTCATCGTCAACCTGCATGCCAGGTTATGACGTCAGAGACGAGATGGGGGGTGCCTCTCTATGCCAACAGCCTTCTCTCAGTCATAATGGCGCCGCCCACCAATATACGCATGACATGCAACCACACAAAATGGACAAAATTAATACAGACGCACCAACAACAAACTAAAACAGCCCCAGGATGCCTTCGTGCACACCTCACACACACACACACACACACACACACACACACACACACACACACAACCTTCTGTAGTACATGCTGCTCTCTTCTGCTGTGACTGCATGTGTGTGTACCTGATTGAAGGAGTTTTTATGTACCAGGAAGCATTTCTACAGAGATTTCACTATGTTCAAATTACTTTTTAGAATGTAAGTCTGATTTTATCTTTAATTTTTTACGTCAATTTCCTTCAAAAGACAACACAACAGCTGAGCCCTGTGTGGTGTGTATTGTATGCCATGTGAATGAAGCATTTAATGTGGAAAAAAAGGCATTTATATCGATCCCCTTCTTCTGTTCTTTCCCCATTACTGGAAGAGAGTAACACTGCTTTATGTCCCACCCACAAATAAAGCCATGCTCTTATACTGTACAAGATCTCCAGGCCAGTAATAATGAAGCCAAATAATTTTTCATATCATGTCATATTTTAAGCCAAGAGTATCTAAAGGCACTTATACTAATGTAATGTAAACATATGTTATTGGTTACAGTACAGTAGCACAAATATATTTTCACAACGTGTATTTTTGATAGCTACTTGGACACATATGCAAGAGGTTTATGACCAGTCATTGGCTTGTATTTAAAGCTGCAGTAGGTAACTTTTATAAAAATAACGTATAACATATTTGCTGAAACTTTACCTATATCCTGACAGTAGTACATGAGACAGATAATCCATGAAAAAATCAGGTTCCTCTGGCTCCTCCTAGTGTTACTAATGGCATTTGCAAGAATTTGAATGTGAAAACTTCGGTAAAATATAATATATATAAAAGTTAACTAATCCAGCTTTAAAAGTATTGACATGACGTATAGATCTATATTGGTTTGATTGCTCTGTTTGCCAGTAGAAAAAACTCTGATGCTTCTCTGTAGAAATCGCATTGCTGCACTTTAAAAGAAACACAAAAGCACTGAACAACTTGGAAAAGAATGTGTTGACATGGTAAGGGATAGATGAAAGCCGCCCACCTGGGTACTTTGCCCATGTATCAAGCCCAGCCCCCTTTTGGGTGAAAGCAGCCATTCTAATTTGACTGGCAGTTAATGCCATAACATAATAACACCCTACTGCTTTTTGGCTATAAGGAGCCTAAATCCTATTGCCAACAAGGCAAACAATTGAGTTACGTTCTTTCAATCTCCCTCCATCAAAGTGAACAAACCTGACATACACTGTAAAACTAAACAAGTTAATTTAAATTTTAAAAAATGATTACTACGAACATTTTAAGTAAAACTAACTTAATTTTGTTTAGTTACAAAAAAATATTTGCTTTAATAATTTTTAGTGACACTAAGTTTTATTTGTACTGTTGAAACAAAATCCCTAGTAAAAAGTGCTAAATCAAGAATCTTTTTAACTTCTAAAACTGAGTTTGTGATACTTAAAATGTGTTTGTTTCGATTAGTTAAAATAACTTACTGCATTACAGTGCATACAGCTACAACATTTGTCACTTTTCCTGTCATGAAGACGTTTCCTTTGCCGTTTTGGTCTGTCCAATGTGATATTACTATAACATTGTCACACGTTTTTTTCAATTTATAGCGCTTGTTTTTACCCAAAAGGTGAAGCGCGTGCCTGCTCTCATCTGTATTCTGGGAAGTGGCATGTAAGTTGAGAGCTGCCCAGGGCAACGCACAATTGGCATGACACGCAGTAGCCTCTAACAAATGAAAAAGCACTGTTATTTGGACCTAATAATCATAGTACTGTAAGTCCACAAATGTGCCAAAGCAGCTTCGCCTAACAACTCTTGTATTTTATTTATCATTGACCTTATTTATGCAAATAATTTATTTTTATTGTTTCAGCTTATAGTTCTTATAGTTTGTTTTTTTGCATTCACTGTGCGATGAAAAAAGGAATGCTGTCATGGGTTTCCTTCCATGGTCCTGTCCACAAATGCTCCTTTTGTCCTCATTGATAGGAAAACACATGTATGTTGCCTGTGTTTTTGTCAAGTACTTTGCTCATGTAAGAACTGACCTTAACGCCCTCCAGCTGATGCTGAGGGATCAGATCTCAGTGTGAATATGCAATGCAGTCCCCCCCCCCCAGTTGTGCTTTTCAATCAGCTCATCCCCAAGCTTTGAAAAACCACTCTGTAAACTGATTTTTTGTAATTTTTTATTTTGGTTTTGGTACTGTATGTTATTTTTGTTTGTTGTTGTTTTTTTTTAAGGAAAGAGTGGACTTGAAATCAATGATCTTTTTATGGAATGATTCAAAGATGTCACGTGTTTTCTAATTACAAAAGCCGAACCTCTGATTATTTTCTGTGTCCTGAATCGTTTTTATCGTGTGTTTGACCTTCCTTAGAACAGAAAGAGACAAATAACATGTGACATGACATGATGAAGGCAAAACAACAAACAAAAGAAAAAACTTAACAAAACAAATATCAGGCGGCCAAGCATTGTTCACCTCAAACTGTATTAACAAATGTTGTGTTCTTTCCTTTCTTCCACCTTGTAACAAGCAGATATAAATAAATATTAATACAATATTGTCTTTTGCACCCTCTGCCCGATACACTTAGAAACTGAGTGGATGCACAGGATGGGTTTCCATGACCACTGTCGGATCACGACTCGTTAAGTTCCACCGTCGCTCACTGGGTTCCTCGCTGGCATGTTTTATGAAGCGACACACTCACACACAGGCCACTGAGCAGCACACACACACAGAGGCATCATTAACCCACACACACACACTGATGCCACGGCTCATCAGAAAATGACATACACAGAGTCAATATTTGGCTTAAGCACAGTGCAAACACATAAGATGACAGAGGAACAACAAGGTTGATATACACGCATGTTTTTACACAATGCGTGTCTCTTAAAGATAGAATATGTAACATTTCTACATTAAACTGTCTATAAACTCTAGCTCTTTGTTCTGTATGTAGTTGAGTAGTGTTACATTATCCGAAATGTTTCCAACAATGTTCAAACTAATTTTATTCAGGTAACGCTGCGTTTCACCGGTCGTCTGTCAATGGCGTTATATCCCCTTTGTGCATGCATCAGCGTTGTGGTTGTCTGCCAGAAGCTGTCATACATTGACTTTTTATCCAGTTTATAACCACATTTTTACCAGCCACTGTTTAGATCTTGGTGCTTTTTAACTCTGGATTTGAACCAGATGAAGGATTTTAGTCATTGGATGTCTTGGATGGATCTTAAGTTAACTTAATCAGAGAAACAAGCTGAGCTAACACTAGCAGCAGCTCGACTTGCAGCCCCTCTGGGACGTCAACAAAAACGGTGATTTGTAAGGTGGAACTGCTTTATTCAGTGTTTTTAGCGGTTTTAATCAGCGGGTCTGTTTGTATTGGAGTGGAGGAGACCTCTGTGGATAATTGGCTCCCGGTAGAAACCTCCTGAATCATGAACACTGAAGGAATCCTAACCAGGAGAAACTGACCGCAGTGATGGCATTGATGGTGCAGACAACAATTCCCATGATCCCACACTACTTCCATGCTCTACCATGTCATCAAACTTCATTCAAGTTTTGCTGTATATATGCAGCTATTAGGAATAATATAGTGTAAACTGTAAACTATGAACAATACAATGAGTCGTTGTTGAGTCTCATTCTCAGCGTCTCTATTTGAATCCCTGGAGACTGAGAATTCAATTATCTTTCTTGGCTTTTTGGATACGGTTAAAGTTTCAGCTACTACTACTACTCTACTGCAGTTAACTACACCATACAGGTTTCCTACACTTATAGTATATTATAAAGACAGAAACACTGTTAGGGCTGGTCTAGTGAACCAAGTGCAGACACTCAGGGGACAGGGAATAGAGAGAGAGAAAAAAAGTATTTATTGTAAGGGATGGGAAAGGGTATGCACGACTGGAGGCTGGGAACCGGACTCAGAGCAGATGGGACTGCAGGGAACAGGAGACAGGGTTAGGCAAAAGGAAAACACGCAACAACAAGCAAACAGGAAAAATGCAATTAAGTGGCTAGTGGCCTAGCAACCACTAACTCAGGGGTCAGCAACCTTTACAATCAAAAGAGAAATTTTTGGCCGAAAAGGTTAATAAATAAAAATCTGTCTGGAGCCACAAAACACATTTGAGCCTTATAAAGCTAACTTTTTTTGTCAACACACTGTTAAACTCTCAACTTTTGTCTGAGATTTTTCTTTTTCTGGAGTCATAACTAGCCTAGCTAGTGAGACTCAAGACCACCACTGTAATTGTTTGTTTAAATTTGATGTTAAGGCAAAATATAGAGGAAAAGGCTCCAGTTCAGATTGTAATGTATAATGCAAGTTTTAGTGGATGAAAATGGTAAAGCTGAAAATTTAGGGACTAGTTTTCCAGACATGGAAATGTCTGAAAATTAATTAAAACGACCAAAAATCCTGGAAATAGTCTATTTTGTCTTGGAAGTATGGAGTTCCACAAGGTTCTGTACTTGGACCAATTCTATTCACTTTATATGTGCTTCCCTTAGGCAACATTATTAGGAATCACTCCATTAATTTTCATTGTTATCCAGATGATACCTAGTTATATCTATCGATCAAGCCTGATGAAATGAATCAATTATCTAAATTACAAATGTCTTAATAAAGTATATATCTTCTTCTTCTTCTTCTAAGGACATAAAAACCTGGATGAGCTGCAATTTTCTCATATTAAACTAAAATTCTTGTACTTGGCCCGAAAAACTTCAGAGACTCACTGTCTAAAGATATAGTCACTCTAGATGGCATTAACTTGGCCTCTAGCACCACTTTCAGGAATCTTGGAGTTATCTTTGATCAGGACATGTAATTTAATTCCTACATAAAGCAGACCTCCATGACTGCCTTTTTTCATCTACGTAATATTACAAAAATTAGACACACCCTTTCACTAACGGATGCAGAAAAACATGCATTTGTTACCTATTAGAATATTGCTCAATTTGGCAAGATAATCTAAAAACCTATAGAAAGGCCCTCCGTAATGCCAGAGGAGCCTATTAGTCAACACTAATAGAAGAAAATAAGAGCAACCCCAGGTTCCTCTTCAGCACTGTAGTCAGGCTGACAGAGAGGCACAGCTCTATTGAACCACATATCCCCATACCCTTGAGTAGTAACGATTTCATGAGCTTCTTTTATAATACATTTATTACTATTAGAGAGAAAATTAATCACCAACTGCCATCAACAGTTATCAGTGGCTCTCCAAGTTCAGGAACTTTAACTAATTTAAAATCAGATATATATTTAGACTGTTTTTCTGCTATCGATCTTCATCAGTTAACTTCAATAATTTCTTCATCGAAGCCATCAACCTGTCTGTTAGACCCGATCCCAACTAGGCTGCTTAAAGAAGTCGTACCCTTAATTGGCACTTCTTTACTGGATATGATTAATCTTTCTTTATTATCAGGATATGTACCACAGTCCTTTAAAGTAGCTGTAATTAAACCCCTTCTTAAAAAGTCCACTCTTGACCCAGGGGTTTTAAGCAACCATAGACCAATTTCTAACCTCCCCTTCCTCTCTAAGATTCTGGAGAAAGTAGTCGCCAAAGAGTTGTGTGACTTTCTACATAACAATAGTTTATTTGAGGATTTTCAGTCAGGATTTAGAGTTCATCATAGCACAGAGACAGCTCTGGTTAAAGTTAATAATGACCTTCTGACTGCTTCTGACAATGGACTTGTCTCTGTACTTGTATTATTAGATCTTAGTGCTGCATTTGACACCATTGACCATGATATTCTTTTACAGAGACTTGAGCATCAAATTGGCATTAAAGGAACCGCACTAATCTGGTTTAAGTCATACTTATCAGATCATTCTCAGTTTGTACATGTTAACGATGAATCTTCCATAAATACTACAGTTAGTCATGGAGTTCCACAAGGTTCTGTACTTGGACCAATACTATTTACTTTATATATGCTCCCTTTAGGCAGCATTATGTAGGGGATACACTACTTTTTCATTATTAGTAGTATTTAATCACTAGTGATTAATAATACACTCGTAAATGGGGCACCACCTCCTTGTTTAGCTACTGGAATAATCCGGAGGAAATTATTCCGCCGATCTAATCAAATCAATTTTAAATCAATTTATTAAGTTTCAAAATCTATATTTAATCTCATATTTCTGAAGTAGTGATTTCTTTTACACGATTCATCGATTTCCCCGCATCAAATCAAACCTGCACCGACAAGGACATACGGTTATATATGTTTATTAACTAAACTAATGCAGAGTAAATAGCATGAAATGATAAACAAACAAATGACAACAAGTAACAGAGTATGTGGACAATATATGAATTATTACTATTAGGTGATTCAGGAGCGATGGTGGATTTTGCGATGCGGCAGTAAGTTTAAAATATTCCGAGAGTAAATTTTAGAACTGAGAGGCCCTAATCCAAAATTCTCTTAAACTTAAAAGATGGGAATCAAAGCTTATAGACAGACACCAGCTCTTTTTCATGTGTGTGAATCCGGCCGTGTACCGGAGAGTCAGCATACTTTGTTTGTAGATGGAACTTGGAAGGATTCCAGGTCCTTGGCTTTCAGCTCAACTGCGGCTTTGCATCACTGATCCAACAGGCCGAAGGAAGTTGCGTCTCGTCCCTGGTTCCAGTGGCAATCTCTCCAAAAGGCCCAGCGCGGTGTGTGCGCTAGTGAGCGTTGGGGGCACGGTGGCTGGAGAATAATGTCTTTGTCCGGCTGGAAACGTTTATACGTCTTCTTGAGCAGTCAACTACTGCGACGTCCTTCTGGCTGATGATGAATGTCTTAGAGTGGTTGGTCTTCAGCTTTGACTGTAAACTAATTCAGCTTCTTGTTTAAAAATAACTGGAGGATGAAACGCTAGCCTGGCGAATTCTCCAAGAAAGTCCAAGAATTTGATTAAATTCACTTTCTGTGAAAAGGCGACAATACTTGACGATAAGACTACAAAAATATAAAAGAAGAAATTCGTTTGTGTCTTTAGCTTTCAAAATAAAAGTACTTGAAAAGTACTTCAGCACGGCAAGTTATTACTTGATGAAAAATTAACACGTGTCGCAAACGAAGTAAAATAAAGTACGGAAATTAAAGAAAAAGTGCGAATAAATAACGAGTGGATACAAGAGAGAGAAGAAAAGCGAGAGCGAAGAGAAGAATGAAGAGTGACCGGAGTCTATCTCTTATAGCTTTTATTCTGGAGGCGGAACTGGACGAGAGGAGCTGACCGCGCGCGTCACTTCCTCTGGTGATAATTTGATATACGTAACTTTATCAACTTACTCCTATCGTGTTTTAAAGTTTCGAGATCATAATTCACCGTTCACAGAACCCACCATGACTTAATACATAGTTCACATGTTTTAACATCACATAACCGAAATTACTTAATGTAAAAGAAAAGTGGAACTGATTAAAATCATTAAATCATTAATCATTAAACACGCACATAAAACAGCACTGAGGGACTGTACATATTTCGTATAGTGCTAGCTTAATCCTTGTTATAACAAATATGTGTCAGGCATTTACTTATTGTATTTCTATACAGTTATCAAACAAAGTTCGTTTTGAAAGTACCTTACGCTATACCAGAACCTTACCAAAAGGTGGCACTGTGGCTCCATCAAACATTCACACATTTTACACATGATTTTGTAACTTAGTCCAATCTGATGACAGAAACATCAGACAAACATTACATTTGCGTCCTTCTCATGCTGGATGGCAATCTGTTAATTAGGAGGAGATGAAATTTTACCATAATACTCCAACAGAACTAAATCTATATCTGTGCAACTGCTGTTACTGCTTCCTAGATTGGAATGTCCACTATCAAAAGAAAACATCGTAATTTACACTTTAGAGGAAGGGGTGTCAGAATGCCAGATGTGGATTCCAGAGGAGTTTCTCTCTGGAGATGGACCTGTCAGACTAAAAGAGATGTAAACACATTTCAGGGATATCTAACCCTGATTTACAATCAAAAAGGCATTTCTGTTATCACACACGATCCACTTTAGGTGTAGGGTGTCGTTCTGATCTGTGGAGAAGTCAGTGTTCTGTTAAAGAGGATAAAACATATTGACACCTTAGAGATCCCATCTGAGAATCTGAAAAGAACCAGGCTCTCTGTGCAGGAGACTGTCGGCGCCACAGTCTCACCTCCTCCTGGGTCAAAAAGGTCAAAGGGAAAGAGGAGGCCTTGAAAACTCTCCTGGTGGAACATAATCAAAATAATATGATGATTGTTGAATTAAGAGACAGATAAAGCGTCTCTTGTAGAGGAAGACGAGGACAAGGTCCTACAATTATTAGGAATCACTCCATTAACTTTCACTGTTATGCAGATGATACGCAGTTATATCTATCAATCAAGCCCGATGAAATTAATCAATTATCTAAATTACAAACATGTCTTAAGGACATAAAATCCTGGATGACCTGCGATTTTCTGATGTTAAACTCAGAAAAAAACGAAATTCTTGTTCTTGGCCCCAAAAACCTTAGAGACTCACTGTCTAAAGATATAGTTACTCTAGATGGCATTAACTTGGCCTCTAGCACCACTGTCAGGAATCTTGGAGTTATCTTTGATCAGGATTTGTCATTTAACTCCCACATGAAGCAGACCTCTAGGACTGCCTTCTTTCATTTACGTAATATTACAAAAATTAGACACATCCTATCACAGACAGATGCAGAAAAACTAATCCATGCATTTGTTAGGCTGAATTACTGCAACTCTTTATTATCAGGTTGCCCCAATAAGTCCATTAAAACGCTCCAATTAATTCAGAACGCTGCAGCACCAGTACTGACAGGAACTAGAAAAAGAGATCACATCTCTCCTGTACTAGCTTCTCTGCATTGGCTCCCTGTAAAATGTAGAATAGAATTTAAAATCCTCCTCCTCACCTATAAAGCTCTTGGTGGCTCTTCTATCTTAAAGAGCTTACCTATTACCCCACTAGAACACTACGTTCTCTGAATGCTGGGCTACTTGTGGTTCCTATAGTCTCTAAAAGTAGAACAGGAGCCAGAGCCTTCAGTTACCAAGCTCCTCTCCTGTGGAACCAGCTTCCAGTTGTGGTTCGGGAGGCAGACACCCTCTCCACATTCAAGAGTAGGCTTAAGACATTCCTCTTTGATAAAGCTTATAGTTAGGGCTGGATCAGGTGAGTCCTGAACCATCCCTTAGTTATGCTGCTATAGGCCTAGACTATCGGGGGATTTCCCATGGTGCACTGAGCTCCTCTCTTCCTCTCTCTTTCTGCACTCATTCATGTTCCATTAATGCATGTTACTAACTTCACTTCTTCCCCGGAGTTCTTGTGCTTTCTCGTCTCGCAGGTTCTTGTCGATCCTGGTGGAGCCTCCTGCCATGGTCCTGCTAGATTGCCATTGCCAATACTGTTGTTGCTGTGCACCTGTCTGTCTGTCTGTCTCTTGCTCTCTCTCTCTCTCTGTCTCTCTCTCTCTCTCTCTCTCACCCCAACTGGTCGAGACAGACGACCACCCACCTAGAGCCGAAGGATCTGTCCTAGGTTTCTGCCTTATAACAGGCAGTTTTTCCTTGCCCTTGTCGCCAAGTGCTTGCTCATGGTGGTACTGTTGGGTCTCTGTAATTAATGTTTTAAAGAGTTCGGTCTAGACCTGCTCTATTTGAAAAGTGTCCTGAGATAACTTCTGTTATGAATTGACGCTATACAAATAAAATTTAATTGAATTGAATTGAATAAGCCTATTAAAAGAAGAAGTAAAGAGTGAAAGAATCAATTGCATGTACAGTTAACATCACTGCACTTGTATTTATCAACCACCAACAGTCTAACAATCTAAATTTGATGATTAATAACAGGCTGTATACATTTTCCGAAATGGACTTGACGCAAAATTCACTGTGTGTGGAAAGAAAAATGCTTGCTCTTGACTGACATGGGAGCTTATCCTATCAACAGTCGAGTTTCAAACAAAACACGCTGCTAGGTTAAGAATTTTCCAGGACAACATAGAGCATTTCATTGGAATCCATTTCAAGGTGTTTCCATGACTGTCTCTAAATTTACAGGTTTTCCAGGTTATCCAGGACGTGTGGAAACCCTGGCAACTACACCACCAGATGCCACAAAGTACTACACACTGGACCTTTAAAAAAACAAGATCGTTTGAGATTGTTAGAAATAGTAGTTGGAACAATTCAGTCTGACCTTGACATTAGTGGTGAGTAGGGACATTCCCAAATGTACACCTATGGCACTGTGTAGCCCAGTGTTAGTAGTAGTGGTTGTCCTCTTAATAAATACCTTTAGTTTGAAAAAATGTACATCACTGTTGAAACAAGCACAGTGACCGCCTTTTAGCTTGCTTTCTGATGTTACAGACAATCACAAGCTTTTAGTGCAGATGCTAGTTTTAGTACCAAGATAAATAATTTACTTGTGAGATTATTTCCTGGCCTCTGCAGTGCAGACAGTGTTGCTGATTGGGCTCTTTGTGTGCCGTGTGACCAAGTAGGAGGGAGTGGAGAGCCATATTAACTCCTCCACCAGCTACTTTTAAAGGAATCCAGTAGCCACTCTGCTTGACATTTAGGCTGAGTAAAACACATACTGCTTTATCTGGCCCACCCCAAGCTCTATCATGAGCAGTGTAGTCCAGAACCCATACATCGGCCGAACGCCTACCACTCGGGTGAGTAGTGTGGATGGATTGATTGATAAAGGGAGAAAAGGTTTGACATTGCATGAATATGCTGCTTATGTCTGGAGTACTAAAGGGAATTGTGAAAAGGGGAAGATCATGGTGGCCCAAGATAGTTCCACATCTGATTCTGTAATGTCTTTTTCTCTTGTCCTTTTTCTTTTTGAGACACAGTTGCTCTTCTGTTAGTTGCTAGATGATATGTTCTATCTTTGTCATCAGGATGTGGAAAGAGGGTCTTTAATTATTGAGTGCTTGGGGATTTTCTGGCATATGCGCTCAATCAGGTTGAGAAAATGTAGAGAGCAGAGATCGTACTCTTGATGTATTTGAATGTGAGGAAATGTAAAGTTATTATACAGCTGTATTGTTTGGGTTTATGAGCTTATGGAAATCTATTACAGTGTTTATTTTAAATAAATAGCACTTTTTAGGCTTGCAATATTATTTGTAAAAACAGGCAGAAAGGATTATTAAAAACTGCAATTGTTTTACTTGTACTGTGCTTAAACTAATATATAGGTAGTTCTGGCTGCATCTCTGGCCACATAACTCTATGTTACTCTGTGATTCAGTGACATAGTGTTACCTTACTTACCTTACAATAAAAGTAAATGCCATATTTTTCTTAGCTCATCCAGCAGCCAGTGACATCTTCAAGGTTGTTGTTTTTTGCAGTCTCACATGCAGAGATACTGGAATTCAGAGTTGGGGGTCCTCAGAGAAATTCAATTACGTAATGCTGCGCAACTCATGGTTTTTGCATTCATTTAATTTGGCCAAGATAATTTATATCAAATACTTATTCACAACATTTTACACCAGTTTTAGAATGTTTTCACCTCCGTCTCGAGAGTCACTATGAATGCATTTTATTCACATGATAGCAACTCTATTAGCTGGTATGGTCATGGTGAAAATGGTCATGTCTCTGTTTAGACTGACATCATTTGCTCATCTGGTGGTACGCCAAGGGTGGAGCACATCAAGAATCTTAAAGTTCGCATGAAACAAAAAGCAGAGTGCTGTTTACTTCCACATATTTACATTTCCTGTAAACAAACAGCTAGGGAGGGACCAATAGCACTGAATGTGTGTTACGTCCCCGCCATCAAACAGCTATAGCAGATCTATTAGCTGACTCTGCCGGACTGGGAGTTTCCAGTGAACAGTATGGTCAGTTTGGACCAAATACAGCATCCAATGCTGACAGGTCGGTTTGACAACAGGGAATATGGTACCGAGGTGGTTTTCTTGGCACTCCTGGCACCACTCGACTGAGTTAGCTAATGTTGCCTGCACAAGCTAACTAGATACCATTTGCGGCAGTTAGCTACTTTTAGCAAGGAGTCCATCAGGAAACCTCGGTACTGCTGTCTTCAAACTGTCCTCCGTCTGTCTCAGACTTTGTTCGGTCTTGGTCCGGTAATGTTCACTGGGAGGCTGCTGAGCCCAGTTCTGTTGCTTGCTGATGGCAGCTATAGCAGCAGTTGGCAGAGTTGAGGCAGAGCATGAAGAAATAATAAAGTTGTGTTTTTGTACAGTAATCAGTGAGGTCTGTCCCCGAGACACACACTGCTCCAGCAGAAAGCCATTCTGTTGCTAAAGTCTCAAGATTGATTGATGGGTAGATGTTATGATATTATTGGTTGAAATTGGTTGGTTCAAGCTTGCATGCATCACATTTTGTTTTACAGGTAGAAGAAATGATTTATTTTTCTTTCTTTGTTAAATAGGGGTACAATATGACAGGGGATATAACCTTAAGGGTTAAAGGCATTTTTTTATTCAATCTGGACTTTAAGCCTTGTGTTTGCATGGCTGGAACTGCACCTGATCTGCGTCAAAAATAACGTATGTTCCACATCTTCACTGTATACCTGCACTGCACGAGGCTCAGTTCCGCAATGATCTCCAAATCAATTCTGAATCCATCCTGGTAATACTGTATATGGCTTAAATTGTAATCAAATGGGTGCAGAGCTTTTGCTGGGCAGCACTGGAAAAATCTGTCGTGTAGGGGTACACAATGACCAGGGGTGATAGGGGAAGATTGCACAGGCAGAATCATCCTCCATATTTTGTCAATTTAGCAGAGAATCTTAAGTTAATTGTAAATGTGAGTTCTTAAAAGATCATCTTGTCTTTCAATTCTTCCTTCAGCAGACAGTGCTATGTCTCCACAAAGCAAATTATCCTCATGCATGCCACAATTCTACAGACGTCTACCCAGGCACCTAGTATGTGAGTATAGATCTTGCACTGTTTTAAACAGCATTTTCATGTGCATGTTCATCTTTCCATTCCACACAAAGAATTAACGCATCAGTCCATCACATACTTCACTCACCCATGCATGATTCAGTGTTTGTACTTGAATAATGCAGACAGCAGAGACAGAGCAGAGACCATGACACACAGATGTGATTATGTTACTAGCCAAGATGCACATGGCAGTTGGAAGGGCGGCTGTGGCATAGAGGCAGAGCGGGTCGTCCCCTAATCAGCCATGGTTTTCAGCCAGCTGATTTTGGTTTACCATCAACTTCTAGATGCCCAAGCCTGGGGGCGGTGGAGGGGTGCCTCCTGGGAGTCGAGACAGCAGTGGGATATGTCGAAGCAGTAGCATCAGCAGTGGGTCTGGAGGCAAGATGCTGTCCCTGTCATCCATGAACGAGAGTGTGCACAGTGGCCTGAGCTGTTTCTTGTCGGAGCAAGCACTGGAGCAGGAAGAAAAGCAGCAGCGCAGCAGCCAGTTAGCAGAGTTCCAACGTCTTAGAGAGGTTCGTGCTGCTGCCCAGCTCAAAAACCTGGAGGATTTCCTTAGGATGAACCATGTTTCACTCAGGGACAGCATATCATATGCCACTGGCATGGTCTACAGGTAAGATGTTAAATTCTCAAAGTGGCTAATATAAATATCCAACCAACCAACAAAACTACCAATTACAAGCAATTAAGGTAGGGATAACTCAACTTGAGTTGAGTTGCTTTTGCAAAATGACAGGAGGCTAACAAACATTTTATTTAAACATTAGGATTTTTCATGTGACAGAATTTTCAAACTTCAGAACTTCGAGGTTCATAAGCTTCTCTTTTCTTGTGGTACTAGCAGGTGGGAATGCTGCAGAGAAAGCTAGCATGTTTTGTGATGGCACCTGATATTAGCAACGCACTGGAATAAATGCACATAAATATGGTACTATCCAAGCTGGTGATATATTTATAATTGCCATGCAGACAATCACAGACTGGATCTTTGACAGATATTATTTTTTATAAAATTAAACACTGAGATTTAGGATTGATAAGAGATGTCAAGATAAAAGCAAAATGTATGAGTCCATTTGTCATTGAATTGTCTTTTTTCATCAACAAACGGCTCAAATTGTTACAATATATTTGGATTCTAAGAACATATATTACACCATTTAAACTGCATCACTTTAATCCCAATATGCCAGAGGTTCATGGATGCATAAACTCAGTGTTTTAGTTGACTAACCCTAAACCACAAAATAAACTATATGGTTCTCACAAAAGCAGAGAAGGTGGAATTTCTGTGGTTGGAATATACAGTTACATACTTTCAGGTGTAGTAGCTCCAGTAGATTCTATGGTATTAAGCAGAAGAACATGCATACGTGCAGCTGTTGGGAAAGCCAGGATAACTGAAAAAGCTAGGCTTGACCTAGTCTAGTCAGAGCATCCTGGCTTCATATGTTTCACATAGGCTAAGACAGACTGAGGTGGTGGGACTAGGTAAAGTCAGGTCTAAGTAATTTGGATAAATGCATGTTCTCGGCTTTCTTCAACAGACCACAATTTCAATCACAGTTTTACTGATGAAGACCATGAAAGTCAGTCACAGATTTACTGATGAAGACCATGAAAGTCAGTCACAGATTTACTGATGCTGAAGTAAAGAAGATGTATTAAACAAACTATATATAATGGAAGCTTATGATAAGCATATTATGTAAAAAAGGAAACACAGCTGCTGGCTGACTGCCTGAATGCATAAGTAGACTAAATATACATTTACATGAAAAAACATGAAATTAGTGTAACAAACACATTGGTTTCTGATGGCAGTGACAGCTGACTGAACAGATAGCTCCAGGATAGGGTTAATCAAGCCTGGCTCCACTTAATGAGGCACTTGAATAGAACAATCAATAATGTTTGTAGTGACATGTGCTTACTATAAAAAAGTAAAAATGGCTGCTGTGAAAAAGTCTTATTGTATACAATATAGACTGTATATGGTGGCAAATGAATTTAGTTAGTAGCTGCAGACACTGGTGAGGGCTATATAACCCTCTCACTTGCACTTTAATGATATATTAGAATATATTGATAGTATGATATATACATTATAATTTAATTTTCTTACTGGAATATGATTTTTTGTCAACAGAAATCTGGGAAAATCAGGGCTGAGGGTGTCCTCTCTTGGATTAGGTGAGTACAAGCCCATCTACAATGACTGCAAGAGCATAATATCTCTAGACAAAGGAACTGAAAAGCAGCAAATAAGTTCAAGTGCTTTTCAGTTTGCAGGTTAACATTTTTAAGCAACATGTTATTACTTCCAACTCATCAAAAACAGCTGCCTGGTCAGTGCTTCAAAATGTTACACTGTAGGTAAAAGGTCTGGCATTATTTGTGGACTCACAAGGCTCTGCAGTCAAGTGAGCAACAATAAATATGCAATGTCCAGTTAGACTTTCAAAATAAAGTCTTCATGATTAACATTGAAATAAAGTTAGCAAAAAAACAACAATATACATTTTTTTTACAGTTATTTACAGCTTGCTGCTGCACTGCTTCATCATCTCATAACTGCTAAATCAGCATTTACAACACAGATTAATGACAGCTGTGTAATTGGCCACTGACATTTAAAATGAGTGATCACAGATAAAGTTAGAGAAGCCAGAAGGTTGTCCTCCTAACTCTATAAGAAGTGTGTAGAATTCCAATTTCATTGAATTGACGATGCAAAATGACGATAATTAAGTATACTACTCAGTATCTAATATATAGGGAAGTGAGTGAGAGGAAGATGGATTCATTTCAGACGCAGTTTTAGAGTCTGTACCTGGAAGCCTAGCCTTCTGGAGGTATGCTGTGAACAGTATGCCTTTTTATCTGTCTGTGTCAAGTGTGATCCTGTGTGGGATACCGTATATGTACTTATATGTTCTGGGGCCCTTGTGTTGTATATGTATTTACATGTTCTGTGTCCTTTTTTTGTCTTTGTTGATGTCCTGAGCACACTGAAGCAAATCCCTAGCAACTTGCACTGAATTGTATGGCAATAAAGTATTGAATCTTGGAAGAGGAAAGGGATTTGGTACAGTTGAAACCAGTTGTGCCAAAAATAACAAATCATTTTAAGACATGCCAGATTATGCTCCGTTTAGGGGATTCACATTTCTGAAAATGAGATTGAGCAGCTTTGACAATTCTGAGCGAGAAGCCCTATAACTCACTGAAATTTTGTTACCCATTTCCTCTTGCCGACTCAAAATGTCTTCACTCATGCACAAATGTCATTCTGCTCTGACAGATCTATGCCTGCACACTCTCAAATGCTGGCTTGCAAACTGGACAATACTCAGATTTGTTTAATTTGTTGTTCTTTGTTCATTTTTAAAAGCACAACTAAAGAATCCCTGATCTTCTGCTGTAACACCCTCACAAACTGTAATCATTTTGTTTTTGTGCAGGCACGTGGGTTACTTTTGGAGGCCAGATAACGGATGAGGTAGGAGAGAACACCTGTGCATTCTCATGTAATACAGAGTAAAGTTTAACAGGGTGTAACAATGAGAAGAGAAGAGAGAGTAGTTCACCCAGTGAAATACATGGATTCATGTTTCTGTACTGACTGGGTGTTTGTATTGTCAGCAACAGGCCTTTCAAGACAAAGCAATAAACTGGAAAAATAGCAGTTTAGCTCAATATGAGCCAGATATTAATGTTTCAATGTAGTGTTCTTTGTGAAGACTAAAGCCCAGTTCAGACCAAAGATCGTTTTGAGTAAAACTGTCAGCTGGTGTAAAAAATGTGACACCAGGTCAAAAAATCACTCAAACAAGATAACTAATCCTAATCTTCACTCCGCTGTGTGAAGATATGATATGTTCACAATATGAAAAAAATCCTTTCAAAATGCAGGAAAATGTATTACATGTTGCATTCATGCTGTTTATTATAACAGATTATTACAAAATGTGGGTGTTGTTACATGATAGAGTGAAAATGTCATACATTTATTACATAAATAATGCTGTGATATTGTGTTTTTACATATGCTGTTCACACCTGTGAAGATGACATTGCATAAACATTATGCAATTGATTTTAGAGCTGTTACTTCAAGTGCCCAGCGGAAAAATCAGTACATTCAGATCTGCCCTCTTAGATTGATGCCCCATGGTAGATAAAACACAATAAAGTGCCCTGTAAGGTGCCCTTCCAGTGGACAAAATGTGGTAAAGTACCCTCTAGGGCAGTGGTTCTTAACCTGGAGCAACTCTCATTCTCCTGAGGCAAACCATTAAATTAACAAAATAAAATGACAAAAATCAGCCAAGAAACAAACAACCAGTGATAGCTGATATATCCGCTCTAATACATGGTTATCAGAACATGCCCTTCTTTTGCATCATGGTCCCTATCATGCTACATCTTTCAATTTTCAATACAATTCAATTTCATTTGTATAGCACCAATTCATAACAGAAGTTATCTCAGGACACTTTTCAAAAGGGCGGCTGTGGCTCAGAGGCAGAGTGGGTTGTCCCCTAATTGGAAGGTTGTTGGTTCGATCCCCCTGCCATGTGTCGAAGTATCCTTGAGCAAGATACTGAACCCTAAATTGCTCCCGATGCACAGCATCGGTGTGTGAATGAATGAGTTAGTTTCTGTCCGATGGACTTTGCCATCGCTGTGTGAATGTGGGACTTTGCCATCGCTGTGTGAATGTGGAGAGGGTGTCTGCCTCCCGAACCCAAACTGGAAGCTGGTTCCACAAGAGAGGAGCTTGGTAGCTGAAGGCTCTGGCTCCTGTTCTACTTTAAAGACAATTGGAACCACAAGTAGCCCTCAGAGAACGCAGTGTTCTAGTGGGGTAATAGGGAACTATGACCTCTTTAAAATATGAAGGGGCCTGACCATGAAGAGCTTTGTAGGTGAGGAAATCCTATTCTGAATTTTATAGGGAGCCAGTGCAGAGAAGCTCATACAGGAGAAATATGATCCCTTTTCCTAGTTCCTGTCAGTACTCATGCTGCAGCACTCTGAATCAATTGTAGCGTCTTAATGGACGTATTGGGGCAGACTGATAATAAGGACTTGTAGTAATCCAGCCTAGAAGTAACAAATGCATGGATTAGAATTTAAAATTCTCCTCCTCATCTACAAAGCTCTTCATGGTCAGGCCCCTTCATATCTTAAAGAGCTCATAGTACCCTATTACCCCACTAGAACAGTGCATTCTCTGAATGCAGGGCTACTTGTGGTTCCTATAGTCTCAAAAAGTAGAACAGGAGCCAGAGCCTTCAGTTACCAAGCTCCTCTCCTGTGGAACCAGCTTCCAGTTGTGGTTAGGGAGGCAGACACCCTCTCCACATTCAAGAGTAGGCTTAAGACGTTCCTCTTTGATAAAGCGTATCGTTAGGGCTGACCAACCCTTAGTTATGCTGCTATAGGCCTAGCCTATCGGGGGATTTCCCATGGTGCACTGAGCTCCTCTCTTCCTCTCTCTCTCTCTTTCTGCACTCATTCATGTCCCACTAATGCATGTTACTAACTTTACTTCTTCCCGGGAGTTCTTGTGCTTTCTCGTCTCACAGGTTCTAATAGTTCCTGGTGGTGCCTCCTTCCATGGTCCTGCTTGACTGCCATTGCTAATATCACTGATATTATTGTTATTATTATTATTAATATTATTATTACTACAGTTACTATTATTACTATTGTCACTGCTCATTGTCCCCCATCGTTGCTGTTGTCATCGTCGTCATCTTCTTCATGTTCATCATCATCAGTCACTACTATTAGTGTAGTAGTTGTTGCTACTGTTGTTGCTGTGCAACTGTCTGTCTGTCTGTCTGTCTGTCTGTCTGTCTCTGTCTCTCTCTCTCTCTCTCTCTCTCTCTCTCTCACCCCAACTGGTCGAGGCAGACAACCACCCACCTAGAGTCAAAGGGTCTGTCCTAGGTTTCTTCCTCTTAATAGGCAGTTTTTCCTTGACCCCGTCGCCAAGTGCTTGCTCATGGTGGTACTGTTGGCTCTCTGTAAATGTTATAAGGAGTTCGGTCTAGACCTGCTACATTTGAAAAGTGTCCTGAGATAACTTCTGTTATGAATCGGTGCTATACAAATAAAACTGAATTGAATTGAATTGAATTAAATTAGTTTTTCTGCATCTGCCTGTGACAGGATGTATTTAATTTTTGTAATGTTACATATATTAAAAAAGGCAGTCCTAGAGGTTTGCTTTATGTGGGAATTAAAGGACATGTCCTGATCAAAGATAACTCCAAGCTTCCTGACAGTGGTGCTGGAGGCCAAGGTAATACCATATCTAATAATATAGTAATAACTATATCTTTAGACAGTGAGTCTCTGAGGTGTTTGGGGCCAAGTACAAGATTTTCAGTTTTTTTCTAAGTTTTACATCAGAAAATTGCAGGAGATGCAGGTTTTTATGTCCTTAAGACATGCTTGTAATTTAGATAACTGATTAATTTCATCAGGCTTGATTGATAGATATAACTGGGTATCATCTGCATAACAATGAAAGTTAATGGAGTGATTTCTAATAATGTTGCCTAAGGGAAGCATGAAGTGAATAGGATTGGTCCAAGCACAGAACCTTGTGGAACTACATGACTAACTTTAGTGTTTATGGAGGATTCATCGTTAACATGTACAAACTGAGAACGAATCTTTAATGCATGATTTTATAATTATTGTTAATAATTATGTTGATTACCCATATTTCCAGCCGTTTCACTCATCTTTATCATCTAAAATTTTGCCGTTAAAGGTGGCAGAGGAGCTGATGACTTTGGCATACGAGAATGGAATCAACCTGTTCGACACAGCTGAAGTATATAGTGCTGGGAAGTAAGTGTGGCTTGAAATTGTCAATTCATGTCTCATAACCACAAAACCTGTGTGGTTAATTCATTTCAGAAAAGATTGTAAGTTAAGTAACATACAAATAACATGAGTACATTATGTAAGTTAAAGAGGGTGGGTTAAAGTCCTGTGTTTGTTTGAGGCATCCATCCACCCCCACCACCTCTCTATGTGACTTTCTCACTCTTTATACTACCTCACCTGACTTCATGTCAGGTAATTAAGAGGTACCTTCAGCGTCATTATTTAAAGCGGAAAATAAAATAAGTTTGTCTTTTTTCAAACTACAAAAGACACAACAGAAAGAAAGATAACATCAAAACCCTCTTTCTCCCTCTCTCTGTCTGCTCCTTTCCCAGGGCTGAAGTTGTCTTGGGAAGTATCATAAAGAAAAAAGGATGGAGGTAGAGCTTTCATATTTTCTTATGTGCAGACTACGAATCTTAAAACGAGCAGTATGATATATAAGGCTCAGTTGAAAACTTTATATACCATTACGTATTATTTCGTATTAATGTATACCATTACGGTAAACATTGCCTGACTAGCACATTTATTGTGATTAAACTGGTATTCAGTGTCATTGCTCTGTAAGACAATTTACTTAAGAATTTACTTTATTTACTTTTCTTCACAGAAGTGAACCAAATGCAGAGATATAGGCCGACTGTGGTATTTTTTAGGTTTTCTTACATGACTTAAAATCAAGAGGGCCTCATGAAAGAAGCTTTTTATTGTATTATTGTATTACTTTATTAATCCCACAACGGGGAAATTCCCTTGTCACAGCAGCATTTTACGTGAAATAAATAAATACAGATATAAAAAAAAACTATGGGAAAGTGGTAAAGCTATGGTATGGTGGTAATGGAAAAAGGTGGAAAAACAGAAACTACAACATCCTGATCTGTAGCTGTGGCAGCAACGGCCGAGGGAGGGATGTACACAGTTACAGCAATATTACATGAAGGTGAACTCACACCAGCTGACAAAGTCTCTGCACAATGCTCTCTCAGAAACGCATCCAACAAGGCTGTGTCGAGACTGGTGTGGGGTGTGGGTTGTGGGTAGCTGGGGAGGGTGAGGGGGGAGACTGTACCTGGGGGACCTGTGCGCAGAGACCTGTGCAGTGTTGGGCCTATACTGTGGTCTGTTGGGGATAGTTTTGTGAACCTAATGGGTGTGGCTGGATGTGTTGAAGATGGGAGAAAACATGCCTCACCATGCCGGGGGGGGGGTCCCCCAAAAAAAAAAGGGTGGGGGGGGGGGGGCAGGCTAATTAACAGTTCCAAGTCTCTTGTGCAGAGTTGCTCCTTTTTAACACTGATGTATCCCAGGTGGCACCATCTTTCATTCACAAACACAGCGATGCCTCCTCCCTTCTTCTTACCACGCTCTCCGTTGCTTTCCTGTCCGCCTGTACAACTTGAAATCCGTCCAGGGTGACGTGTGAGTCAGGAGAAAGTTCACTCAGCCACGTGTCTGTGTAGCACATGAGGCTGCATTCCCGGTACTCCCTCTGCAGCCGGATTAACGCCGTTAGTTCTTCCATCATGTAGGGGGCCATCTTTTCCGCTGTCTGTGCTTTACTCCTGCTCTGGCGACCCCTAGTGGGGGTCCCGACCCCCAGGATTGGAACCACTGTGCTGCTGAACACTCCATAAGTCTTCACTTTTTGCTCAGGTCTCCAATAACAATTGAGCCTGTCAGAACCTCAGTCAACTTTCTCCTTTCCTGTACTTAGATAAGCTATGTGCTAGGCTCTCTATATTGAAAAGCCAAACACATTTCATCCGTCATTAATGATGGAAATTAGCTAGTTGTGTTGAAATAGGCAATGTGCTTGATACTATTTTAATCTTTTTGTATGTTTGAAATATATGGTTTACAGGTGTCATTCAGTCTGATTTCTACTTTGTATGTTTTGACATGCAGTCGTTCCAGTTTAGTTATCACCACCAAAATCTTCTGGGGCGGAAAGTATGTATACTTTTTTTTTCTCCTTTCTCTCTGTCCCTCCTTTCTCTCTTTCTATGATGAATGAATAATGAGTTGTAGCTCCCTACTAGCCATAAGCTAAGGTATTGGAAGGATGCACTAAGGTAACATTGAGGTAACATTTAGGGTGACCAGACGTCAAAGAATTTGGGACAGTCCCGAATAACCACCAGTTGTCCTGAAACCCAAATCCTGTCTTGTCAACCCGATTGTTACGTGTCACCGATGCAATGTGCAATGTTATAGTAATACATAATGTAAAAAAGCTGTCTCTGTGCTGTGAACAGTACAGTATAATAAAGTAAAGCAGAAATAGACCATATTACAAAATACAGTAAAAATACAGTATAAATTACAGAAATATAGCAACTGGCTGGCAACCATGCTGCTAGTAACTTACTGTAGTATACCAGGACATTTTTAGATCAGTTCAAATTAATTATTTCACCTGTGCGTAATGGTTCATATGTGACACGTTTTATTAACCCTTATAGGTGGCTAAGTGACCACACCCACCCTCAACTGCCATGTACTGAATTTCACCCATCTCCATCTGGTCATTCTAATACCATTACATGTAATATATTCTAGGCCATTTTATTATTCTCCAATAAAATTCAAAACAGTCATCATAACTGAATATCTCCATGACTTGGAAACTCCTGTCAGTCAAGGGACATATGGATCATTACATTTTGTAGATTTTTGTGAATTTATGCACTTACTCTTTTACTCCTGCAAGGAGGGGCAGGTTTAGTATAATGGGCTCCTGACTCAGAATTTAGTTTCTGTCTTTGAATATCAGTTGGGACGGGAGTCTGAAACATCAGATTGCTCATCAGACACTCAGGCTCAGCAGATTCTTTTTTTCTCCGAAATTACACACAGGAACCTCAATTTTTTGGAGCTTGTGTGGTATAGGAAAAAAGATAATATAAAAACAAATCAAAGTAAACCCAAAACACAACCAAACCAAAAACCTGCTGGCTGGGAGAGAGAGAGAGAGAGAGAGAGAGAGAGAGAGAGAGAGAGAGAAAACCAACATTTACAGCTCCCTATATAGCCTAACAATCAGGAGGACCAATCTGCAGGAGTTAATTCAGGTGTGGCTTTTGTGAATTAAATATTCCGCTGTTGAAATTTAATTCTGGTCCAGTTTGTGTTAACGCTGACTTTTTAAAAACAGACCAAGAGGAGTAAACATGAAGTTATACAGACTGACAGGTAACCTATTGGTGACTCCAAGAATTAAAGTTGAATTGTGATACACCAAAAGATTCACATTGCAAACCAGAATTCTTTTTTAGAAAGACAGCGATTTAAATTTAGATACATCATAGAATGTAGTTCTGTGCTTTGTGCTTACATGTATTTAATATAGCAGTGACCAATATAAAATCTGAATTCTATACACCCTTTGAAATCTTCTATATTTCAAACCTTGAGTTCTGAAAAAGATGTTTGTTTTTCAGAGCAGAAATGGAAAGAGGATTGTCAAGAAAACATATAATCGAAGGTAAGCTCTTTAGCTACCACTGTGAATTTTGTCATGGCAATAAAAATACATTTAGCTGCATGTGTCACCATAGCCGCCTAACATCAGCATGCTTTTATGTGATAATACAATAAATATGAAATTATCTTTGTAAAACAGGTCTAAGGGCATCACTACAGAGACTTCAGCTCGAGTACATAGACGTGGTTTTCGCAAATCGACCAGATCCCAACACACCTATCGAAGGTGGGAAGATTACTTTCCCTGGGCTAATTAAATCAAGTTTGAAACATAAGACATGAACAGCTGTTTCGATTTACAAATGCACTATTACATATAAAGTACAAATATTACCACAGCCAGTAAACTGGCCTCATCTTGTTTCTCTTTGCTCTGTTAGGAAATGCTAACAGCCATCATAGCTGATATGCAGAGGCTCTATTTTCATGAAAAATGGTGTGGAACATGACACATGTTTGTGTGTGCCATCTCCAGTCCATGCATTTACTCTTTTACTCCTGCAAGGAGGAGCAGGTATAGGGTGATGAACTCCTGACTCAGAATCTTGAAGAACAGTTGGCACAGGAGCCTTAAACATCAGCTCGCTCATCAGATACGCAGACTCTGCATCTCCAAAAGTCAGTAACTTGGAAACCAGAACATAGTGATTGTCATGAACCAGCTCTAGACAAACCAAGGGAGACCACACTAATTAAGGTTTAAAGCAAAACAAATATATGTGACCAATATTCAATTCAATTCAATTCAATTCAATTTTATTTGTATAGCGCCAATTCATAACAGAAGTTATCTCAGGACACTTTCAGATAGAGCAGGTCTAGACCGAACTCCTTATAACATTATTTACAGAGACCCAACAGTTCCCACCATGAGCAAGCACTTGGCAACAGTGGCAAGGAAAAACTTCCTCTCAAGAGGCAGAAACCTCTGACAGACAGATGTGGCGAGAGGAGCCGGGGATCAAACCAACAACCTTCCGATTAGTGTACTCTTCCTCTGAGCCACAGTCGCCTGTACAGTACTGTACTGTACTGTACTGTACTGTTTAACTAATCTCTAGTATGTGTACAACCACGTACATGGCTGCAGCCATGCATCATATATTTTGTTGTGACCAGCAGGCCTATGTCGCAGATAGACATACAAGTCTAACTCCACTGACAGACAGTAAACCATGATGCTTTTTTTTCTCTGCATATTCCTTAGTCTTGGCATTTACTCTTTCAGTCTTTGCTGATGAACTGCAAGCCAGCGGAGTTTCTTCTCTCCTGCTTTGTAAGAAGTTTACAGGTAGTTTGGGTTCCACCCCTCAAGCCAATAAGGTTTACTTGAAGGGGTGTACATAAGACTGACATGACACCTGTCATGAACATAGATAGGTAGATATTATATATATATTTTTCCTTTCCAGGAAATTTTTTGTTGCGTAATGCTATGGCAGAAGGTTTGTCCCTTCTGCCATAGCAAGCTCGTTTACAGGCTAGTGTTCTGTATCTGTGCCCGAATGGGAGCAGTGTGAAAAATTGATTGAGGGGTGCCTGGGGTTGTGTGCTCTGTGTGTGATGGCTTTGCTTTTGAGGTCTGAGAGGTTGGGACTAGGGAGACCAATAATTTTGGAGGCGCGTTTGTGATGTGTATGAGTTTGGTCCTATTGGAGGCAGCTAGCATGTCAAAGAAACAGGGGAAATGGTAAAGGGAATGGGTCGTATTATACTTTTATAAAGCAACAGCAGAAGGTGGGGGGCAACAGAGAGAACATTGAATGTGTTGTTCAAAGCTCAGTGTATTGTCCAGAGTGAGTTCAAGGTATTTGAAGCACTCCACCATCTCAACAGCTTCATTATTGATGCTGTTGGTGGAGTTGTGCTGGAAGTGTTAAATAACAGTTCATTTTTGTGACGTTCAGCTGCAGATAGTTGTCTGTGCACCACTGGGTGATGTGGGAGATGGAGTCTAGAAGTCTAGAATTTGATGTATGGGGTGATAGGTGAGGGTCTGGAACAATCATTGGTGTAGAGGGTAAACAGGAAGGGACTGGGGATACAACCTTGTGGGGCTCCGGTGTTGGTGATGATCGTAGAGGATGTTACAGTGCCCACTCTGACGGTTTGTGGTCTGTCGCTGAGAAAGCTGTATACCCAGTGGATGAGTAGTTGGGGGACGTTGAGGTGGTGGTCTTTTTTATGACAACTTGACATTAACCTAGATAGCATTGTCTTGGTTATGACAACTTGACATTAATGAAGACAGCAATGTCTTTATTAAGACAACTTGACAATACTGAAGACAACAATGTCTTTGTTACAAAAACTTGACAATAACCAAGACAATTGCCTTGATCTGATAATTTGACAATAATCAAGGAAACATAACATGCCATGGCAGATCTAATTATCAAACTCTTTAGTTTTAGTTGTTACATTATTTAATTATTTACATTATTTCTGTCACATGTGGTTAATTTTGACAGTAGTTGTCCATTATACTGACCATTATAAATGTGTCATGAATATTCCGTTGACCTCAACTACAGTGATAGTTTTATTTCACTGTCCAAAGCTTTTATAAAAAGTGTCATGAATAATTAATTTCATCTCAGGTAAAGTGCTAACATTTGGACTTTTACAGTACTATGATGATGAGTTTTCTCACGGACAGATGGCTAACTTTACTTGTTGCTGCAGGCTAACCGCTAGCTAACAGCTGCTAAGTGTTCATAAGCTGTCATATTAGCTGACTCAGCCCTGGAGTGCCAGAAACCAACCCGGCATGAAAACCAGCTTTGTATTCCCTGTCAAACTGGCCACCATCGGTCCCCAAGGCTGTGTTTATCTGGCCCAACCATGTTCAACGACTGACAGAGTGCTATTTGATTCCACATGTTGCTACATACTGCCCGATTGGTATTAGGCATGTGCAGACGTCACTGTGCATACGCAAACAACTACATATATGTGCACAATCGCACATACACACAGCACCTTGCAATGCATATTATTTATGTTATGTAAAGTTTTGTATTTATGCTATTCCTTGTCCTTCTCATAGTTTTTGTAGTCTGTCTGATGATTGTTGAAACTTTGTAACTTAGCTTATTTGGGCTGTGTTGGTAGAGACGGTGAGGGCAATGACCTATGTGATCAACCAGGGGATGGCCATGTACTGGGGGACTTCACGATGGTCTTCCATGGAGATCATGGTGAGTTTACACACGTCTTAAAATAGCCAGTAAATGTATTTAGTTCCTTGAAACCAAGATTCAACCCACTACTTGAGATGGTGGCAGGTCGAAATTATATTAACAGGTCAAGGGATGCCAATGTTTGTGTTCTCCATCTGTTTGGGTCCACCACATTTCCACATTTAGATTTTTCTAAAGATCCTTGGGTCTATCAAAGATCGGGTTTCTTTTTTTGAAAATGAACTGGTGAACACTGGGTTCTGGTAGGGTCTGGATTTTTATCAGGTCAAAAATTTTGGACATGTGAAGACTTGTAGGGTGCAGAACTGTTCAGCTATTGTTCATTGTGTTAACTGCAGGAGGCATACTCTGTGGCACGACAGTTCAACCAGATCCCACCCATCTGTGAACAGGCAGAGTACCACATGTTCCAGAGGGAGAAGGTTGAAGTGCAACTCCCTGACCTCTTCCACAAGATAGGTCAGCAGCTATTAATTACAATAATGAGGAACTCATTTTCTTAATTAGTATTATATATTAGTATGTAAGTCGTATTTTTCAGAACTGCTTTTAATGATTAATTAATTGTTGAGTGTGGTAGATATAGCTATAATTCCTTAGTGTGTTGTTTTTATTACCTTTTCTTTTCCTTATTAACTTATGTAAAGTGTCTCTAAGTTTCTTGAAAAGCACTCTATAAATTAAATGTATTATTATTATTATTATTATTATTATTATTATTATTATTATTATTATGTAATTTGCTAGTAAGATATTGAATGAGTGGTGCTAATGGCCATTTTTGGCGGGAAAAAAAGTAGGTTGCCATTTAGTGTTAATTTTCTTTAACCTTAATCCTAGGTACCCTCGTACATCAGGGGTAAACTTTTTGTCATATTTCATGGGTGCTTTATTCTAATAATATTTCTTTATGACTTTGTCAATCATTTTATTCCTCCTACTTTATTAAGGGCCACTGGATTCTTTAAATTATATTTAAACGTAATATTTAGTTTAAATCCTGATGGTCCACCACATTGTAACACTGCAAAACATGTAATTGAGCAATAGAACTTTAATGTGTGAGATTTGGTCCATTACAAGAACTGTTCTGGGCATGCAGGCATTGGAGCTATGACATGGTCTCCACTGGCCTGTGGGATCATCTCAGGGAAGTATACCAGTGGGATCCCCCTTTACTCGCGTGCTTCACTTAAGGTAACACTACTTTTCCAATTATTCTGCCAGACGAAAAATACAATATTAGCAAGCAAGTAAATATATTTTAACACTAGATATTGGCATTCAGGGTTGGGTACAGTACTAGAATGCCTGTCTTGCCTTTAGCCTGGAGCTCTGTATTCTGTTTTCTGCAACAGGGGTATCAGTGGATGAAGGACAAGATCCTGAGTGAGGAGGGGCACCGTCAGCAGGTGAAGCTAAAAGAGTTGCAGGCAGTTGCTGAGCGACTAGGCTGCACTCTGCCCCAACTGGCTATTGGTAAAACTGAACTGTAATTTGTTGCTCTGCCTTCACGTCTATCATGTCCTACTACATAGTAGTCCATGTTTTTTGTTGGAATATCTGATGTCTCTGTCATGATAGCTGTATTAAAATTGCATACAGATACATATATATTACAGCAAATTTTATCCATGGTTGATTTCGTGTTCCATTTCTATAATGCCGTATTTTATTCCCTATGTATTGTGTAAAGAGTGAGAAATCCTTATCAGCCATTCATGAAACATGCAAGCCACGACCTCACTCTTTGCCTTCACACAACAATGGCTGCATCACCTATTCTTCCTGTGTTTTTAATTCCCACAGCGTGGTGCCTGAGGAATGAAGGGGTGAACTCTGTCTTGCTGGGAGCTTCCAGAACTGAGCAGCTGATGGAGAATATCAGAGCAATACAGGTAAGAAAACATACAGGCAGCATGTGTAACCACTTTAATTGTTTATGAACCACAGCCAAGACTCAACAGTACCAAACTGTCTTGGGTCAGTATTTGGATTGCTTTAGGTTACAAAATAAATATTGATGTTGTCTCTGTGACGTCACCCGTAGGTTTTTTGAAAAGCCATTGTGAAGCTCAGTGTGGTGGCTTTGGCTGTCATCATCTTGACAGTGCCTGATGGGAGCTGAGGCAGGTCAAATGCTCGCTATACCCACTATTGCCAATAGGTGCCAGAGCTCCTTAGCACCCATGGAATTCTCACTGAAGCCCAGGATCAGCAGATGGATAAAGTCTTCTTGGGCCAGTTGTTTGTGCTACAACAGTTCAAATGATAGCTTTCACAAAAGCAAAAATTACCACAACGAAACAGGCAAACACACCTTAGTTCTTTGTGGCACTCAGAAGTAAAGCTCTGCCTCTAATATTAGGCTGGCAAGTAAAAGCCTGGTGCTCTCTGTAGTTGAAATAAATGAATAGTTTGAGAAATTACACTCATTCTTCTTCTCTTCTCATTCCACAGGTTCTTCCGAAGTTATCGATGTCCATTGTATCAGAGCTGGATAACCTCTTGGGAAACAAGCCCTATAGTAAAAAAGACTACAGATCGTAGAAGCACCAGCGATGAACTGCCCCTTATCCTGTTTTTGAAAAAGATGCCTATAAAATGGAATCTCTTTCCAAAAGACATAAGCCCGAAAATGTGCCATTTCTCATTTCACCTATCTTTCTACTGTCTTGATCACATTTTCACTTAATGCAACTTAATGATATCAAGTTCTACAGCATGCAATACTTATCCTAGTAGTTTGAACATAACTAACCTTCAATAAAGAGACAAACAAAAACAAAATGAAACACTTTGTGCTAATCAGCTGAGCCACTGAGGCACTAAAGAAACAAGCTAACTGTTGAGTTGAGCAGCTTAGTGTGCTGGACCAGGATTTTTCACTGACTACAGATTGTGGCTTCAGCATGTCGTAGACATATGCATTGGAAGATTTTTTGAGCTGGGGGTGCTACTTTATTGACGATGACTGCCATTCTCCAGCGCCCAACAACTGAAGCTGTCATTTTAATATACAAGAACATGCTCTTGTAGGATTATGGATTGTGCAGGGGTGCTTCTCTTTGAATTTCAGTGTCTGGTAACAATATAGCAACTATCCCAGATTTCACAGACATTCACAGACATTATAGACAGTTCTAATCTCAGGAGACATGGTTATGGCTGGCTGAACGCAGGTTTCACTTCAAGGTTGTTGGTTTTACTCTGATACTCATAGTGTCCACAATCCAGCAGGGGTTGCTGCAGCACCCTCAGCACCCCACTTCCATGGTTGCAGATAACTTAACAAATTGATTTTGTTGAATATGCAGAAATGAATGTCCATTACATTCAAGCCAAACACAATGCCTCTTAAACCTATCACCGCCAGGTCAATCTCTGCATTTCGCAGTGTATTTGAAAATCTAGAGTTTGTGGAAACTCTCCCCCGGTTCTATTCCAACCTGCAGCCCTTTCAGTCTGCAGTTGGCAATTCATAGTTCACCTGTTCGACAAAATCCTCCATCCTCCATTATTCCTTGGCCCCAGGGTGTTTCCAGCTGGGGGGAAATCTGATTGGCTACCCCAAGTGCCATCACCTTATGCTTACTTCTTCGACTCCACACTGTCTTTAAGTGGCTGTACCAGGCTCCGCTTTAATGCTAAAGTGAAGACACTGGTATCAAATGAATCTAGATTATCTAAAGCATGGGTTCTATGGATACCCACAAGTCTTCCCTTTACAGACATGGACACAATTTTTCGGTTCCGGTTCCGGTCTAGAGGGGATGGAAACTTAGAAAGAGAGCTCTCGACAAGAATTAATTAAAACTGCCCCAACATGAATTAACAAACCAGCAAAGTACACGAAAACAAGGGAGATGGGGCACAAATGATGTCCAAAAAGAACAGGAGAGGTAAAAAGTAAATTATCGAACAAGTCGAAGACAACGAGATGCAACTAACAGAAGAAGCTAACGTTAGCCCTCCTGGGGCTAGCCGAGGCGCCTCCCCCGCTCCTAGTTACGATGGGGCTGGGACAGAGAACGAGGACGAACCGGTAAGCTTGATGTTGATACTGGAAGAAGAACTAAGAGGCGTTGGGAAAGAGGTGAAAGAATTTCGAAAAGACACGAAAACACAACTACAGGACATCAGAGGAGAGCTGGACAAAACCAACGCAAGGCTCAACGAAGTGGAAACCAAGGTCGCTGGGCATGAAGATAAGCTCCAAAGTACAGATGAGATATTATCCGAGATGATATCAACACAGGAAAAGCTTCAATTAAAACTGACATCGTTGGAGGTCTACTCGAGGAGGGAGACGCTCAGACTATACGGGGTCCCGGAGGGAGCGGAATCAGGACCACAATCTATGACCCATTTTGTGGAGAAGCTACTTTGGGAGAATCTCAACATCCCCTCATCAACAGCACTACAGATCCAGAGGGCGCATAGAGTGTTATCATCTCCCCCACCAGACGGCTCCCAGCCCAGATCGATCCTGGTAAAATTCCTGTGCTTCACCGTTAAAGAAGTGCTCAGGCTGGGATGGCAGAAGAAAGGTTTTATGTGGAACAAGATAAACCTCGACCACGACTATCATCTGGAGATCATGGCCATGAGGAAGGAGTATGTAGAGGTGCGGAGGATCCTGAAAGACAAGAATATGCGGTTCCGGAACCTCTATCCAGCTCGCCTGAAGGTGTTTTATGAAGGAGTGAAAATCTACAACACGGTGGAAGAAGCAACAGCGGATCTGGCGAGCCAGGGGCTCCCGGTGAAGGTGATTAAACCACCGGCAACTCTCAGAGAGAAATTACAGAGATGGTCATCGTGGCGGGTGGCTGGGGATCGGCGCCCACGACAGAACCGAGGAGCTGCAGGATACAAGGAGAGGCTGCAAGTATACAGACGGGAAGAGAACTAATATAATGTTATCTGTATGATATGGACGAAATGGTGAAATATAATTATTGTCGAGTTAAAACGGGTGAAGATTCTCTTTACTGAGGGCGCCATCATAGTGGAAGGCCCCCTAACTCAGGGAGTAAATAGGGGTATTCCTTCAAGGACGAAGGGAAGCAGTGGAAGTGATTCACTGCTGGAAGTGTGGTCAGGAGCATTCACGCTTCAGTTATACACCAAACATTTTTGTTTATTCTTTACTTATCTCATATGTTGTTTTTCTAAGAGGGGCTTGACTGCTGGTGTCGGGGGTATGCTGTGCGGTCAGTTAATACAATTACATGCAAAATGAAAATTATTTCTTTTAATGTAAATGGGGTCTTGAATGTGATTAAGATGAGTAAGATATTGTCTAAACTAAAGAAAGAAAAAGCCCAGATTGCCTTACTTTCAGGAAGCACACATGAAGCAAGCGGATAACTTGAGGTTGAAAAGAAAGGGTTTTAAATATGTATTTTCCTCATCTGTCAAATCTAAACATAATAGGGGTGTGGCTACACTCATCTCTATTGCACTTAACTATGAACATATTTCAGAATCAGTGATGATGAAGGCAGATTTGTCAGGGTAACGGGAAGGATAGAGGGGTCTGAAATCACAATATTAAATGTGTATGCCCCACCCGGGAGTGATTGGGTATTCTATAGGAATATTTTTGATTTAATGGTGGACTCTCAGGGCACAGTTATCTGTGGGGGGGACTTTAATTTTAGGTCCCAAACTAGACTCCTCCAATCCGACTAATCAGGCTAACCCACCCATACGAAAAGTTCTCTTCCAACTCTTATATGGTAGAAATGGGGATAATAGATGTGTGGAGAGAGCTATACCCATCTATCAGAGATTATTGAGGCAGAAATACTATGAGATAGGAGGGAAATCAGCAAAATACCTGGCGTACAAACTACGTAAACAACAGGAGGAAAGTACAATATACAAAATTAAGAACCCTAGCACTAATATACTGGAAACAAAATTGGAAAGGATTCAGGAATGTTTTGAGGTCTTCTTCAGGGATCTATACTCACAACCTGAGGAGGTTTGCATTGATGCCTTTCTTAGCTCTCTAGACTTACTTTCACTCTCAGACTTTCAAAATGAGAATTTAATAAAACCGATCTCAGTGGAGGAAATTAATGGTAAATGGTAAATGGACCTGTACTTGTATAGCGCCTTTCTAGTGTTCCGACCACTCAAAGTGCTTTTACACTACGTGCCACATTCACCCTTTCACACACATTCATGGCAAAGTCCACCGAAAAGAAACTAACATTCATACAGATTCACACACCGATGCACGGCATCAGGAGCAATTTGGAGTTCAGTATCTTGCTCAAGGATACTTCAACTTGTGACACGAGGAGCTGGGCATTGAACCACCAACCTTCCAATTGGGGGACAACCCGCTCTGCCTCTGAGCCACAGCTGCCCCCTGCAGCTATCACCAGACTAAAATCAGGAAAGGCAGTTGGGCCGGAACGGGTACAATTCTCAGTGGTATCGCATTCTAAGGTCAGAACTAGTTCCCCTATTACTGAAGACATTTAATTACATCCTACAGGAGGGAGAAATCCCGTCCTCTTGGAGGGAGGCAACTATCTCAGTTATCACGAAAGAGGGGAAAGATAGACGAGAATGTGGGAATTATCGACCGATCAGCGTCCTCAACTTAGACTACAAATTGTTCACCTCTATTTTTTCCCGTGGACTGGAGAAGCTGTTGCCTGACCTCATTAATTTAGACCAGACTGGTTTTATTCATCATAGACAAACGACTGATAACATCAGAAGAATATTACACATCTTAGGTCAAATACAAAAGGACAAAACTCAATCAATTATAGGGAGCCTGGATGCTGAGAAAGCTTTCGACTCTGTCAGATGGGCATTCTTGTACAAGGTGCTGGGGAAGTTTGGTTTTCAGGATAAGTTTGTCAGAGTAATCCAGGCGCTATATGATAGACCCTCAGCCCGTATCAATGGTGATCTATCTGAGGCCTTCATTCTGAAACGTGGGTGCAGAGAGGGTTGCGCAATCTCGCCACTCCTCTTCGATTTATGTACAGAAACACTAGGTCAATTAATAAGACAAAATCAAAATATTAAAGGTATTGCACTGTCAGGTGTTGAGCATAAGGTAGCAATGTTCGCTGATGATGTGCTGGTCTGCCTGGGGGAGCCGGAGAGGTCGTTCAGTGAATTAATGTATACTTTGATTGATTTTGGGAAGTTATCTCAGGTGATGACACTAAATTATGCAGCTCCTGCGACTTTACATAAGAAATTTAAGGTAAACTGGGAAAATGATAAGATTAAATATTTGGGGATACATCTGACTGGGGACCTCTCAGGGCTCTTCCGGGCAAACTATAAGCCAATATCCTCGAGTATAAAAGCTGATTTACACAGATGGAATCTGGTTCCCTTCTTGAGCCTTAGTTCTAGGATAAGTGCAATTAAGATGAATATGCTCCCCTGACTACTTTACCTTTTTAGAAACTTTTCTGGCTGAAAATCAATTCAGGGAATGGGACAAAATCTCCAGATTTATTTGGCAGGACCGGAAACCAAGGATTAAATATGCTACCCTTCAACTCGCCAAGGAAAGTGGAGGGTTGGGTCTCCCTTGTTTAAGGAATTGTTATGCTGCACAAATAGCTCCCCTTTTATACTGGTGTAATGAAACTTATATAGCTAGGTGGAAAGAGCTGGAGTCCAATCTGTCAAATCAGCTCCCCATCCAAGCTGTAATAGCGGATAAGGGTCTAATGTGTCATTTAGAAAAGTTGGAGAACCCCTGGCTGACCCACACACTCCGAGTCTGGCAGAAGGTAATTAATACATAGAATAGAATGTTGAGAATGTTTAGATGGTTTGCTTATGACTCAGATTTTATTCCCAACAGACACGACTCTAGCTTTAAATCATGGACAGTGTATGGTCTCACAACACTCCTTTCACTTATTCAAGGAAACACTGTGCACAGTTTTGAGACCTTGCGGGTCAAACGTGGCTTGGCACGAAACGAATTTCATAGATACTTGCAATTACAATCATATATTGATCATGAATGTAAATTGCCTGACCTTTCAGATGTTGAATCAGAATTTTACTGCATTCTGAAAAATGCCATGACCATGACCCCTTCTAACTCCATTTCAAAACTATAGACAGCTCTTTCCCATGCCAATGATAATAACACTCTATACATTAAAGGTAAATGGGAAAGGGAATCAGGGATTGAGATTTCTGAGGAGGCGTGGGGCAGTATCTGGTCCTTCCAGTGCACAACATCCAACTCCATAAGCTGGAGAAAGCATTGCTGGAAGAATATTATTAGATATTTCAAGACACCGTATCAGGAGAGGTATAAAGGTGCACATATGCCATGCTGGAGACAATGCAGCTCGACTGTTGCTAACCATTATCATATCTTCTGGGACTGTCCCAAGTTAAATGTTTTCTGGAAGGGTATCCAGTCTTCCTTAAACACGATCTTTAACACTCAAATACCTCTGAGTTTTGATGTTATGTACCTGGGTCTTTTTCTTTTCTGGAACGTAGGAGCGAGATATAGCTGTTGCAAT